CCATACTCCTCCCGCCCCTCCTCCTACTCCTCCCACTTGTCCTCCTTTTCTCGAATTTTCGTCCTTTTTTTTTTCGATTTCCGTTTCCGGTTTCCCGTTTCCCGTTTTTCGTTTTAAAAAAAAAAAAAAAAAAGGCGAAGATGACGTAAACGTTTGCTTGGGTTACTGCGGTAAAAAAAAAAAAAAAAAAAAAAATTTTTTTCGAAAGGTTTTCCCCCCGTTTTTTTATCATCATCATCATTATTATTATTATTATTCGGGTCATCGATCCCTTTAAATAATAATAATAATAATTTTGTTGGTTGTCGGTTGCTGTTGTTTTTGTTGGAATTTTAAAATTTTTTCGTAACGGTAAAATCAATACACATTTTAAATCCGTTTTTTTAAATAACCTTGAAAGAAAGTGAAAATGTCGTCTTCTGCTATCGATTCGATTCCTATTTGAAAAATTTTTTAAAACGAGGTTTATTTAGAATTTATGTAGAAAAAAGAGAGAGAGAAAAAAGTCGTTAAAATTTTTTTTTTTTTCAATTAGCATGAACGTTATTAATTAATTTTCAATGGTTACGAAAAAAAAAAAAACAAAATGGAGTCGAATGTGCTACTTACTATGGTTATAAACCGGAAATCGTTTTTTTTTTTGTTTTTGTCATCGTCGCGTGTAATTTTTTGTAGGACTCGCTCGTACCTAAAAACTCCTCGAGGGTTTAAATTACAATTTTTTTTTTTTTTTTTTTTTGCGGACGTTTAATTTTTATCCGACAACCTAAACAAGTAAAATTTTTCCAGGTCAAATTTTCAATATAATTTCAAATTTTTTTTTTTTAGTCGCCCGATTCGAACGAGAATTGAAAAATAATAATAATAATAATAAATTAAACGTTTTTAATTGTATGTAACCAGACGTATCCGGTTGTAAAAAGACGAACAAAAAAAAAGGAAATTTTTAATCATTTCGATCACGTAACGCGGAACGCGGTTATTCTTTATTCTTTATTCTTCTTCCACGTCGTCTCACTCCTCACGAACGATGAATGTCACACGACATTCGAGATTCGTTTGTTTTTGTTTTGGAACGAGATATCCGGTTAGTAAAACAAAAGGAGGTTAAAATTTTAGTTTTGCAGAAGGAAAATAATAATAATGATGATAAAAAGGGGAGAAGGCGGTGGTGGTGGTGGTGGTAACAAAACGGTTAAAACCGTTGAGAATGTTTAAAACCCTCGGATGAATAATAATAATAATAATTTTATTTCGAAAGCCTCGTTTGGTAGAGTAAATAGGCCATCCGGTTTTTTTTTTTTTATTACGTCATCCCGTGTGAACGGACATTTTTGCGGTCGTTCAGTTTGTTCGGTTTGTTGTTCCATGAGAACGTCAATCAGTTCTCAGTTTCGACGATGCTTGCCCTCATCGAGTAGTTTTAGAAAATGACAAAAAATAAAAACCGGAAGTAAACGTATAAGAAGGAGAAGAAAAGAAAAAAATTCCACTTCCTTTCATTTGGTTAAAGAGAAAGAGTGAGAGAGAGAGAGAGAGAGTGAGAAGGTAATAAAAATAATGACGTCGTTGATTATGATTACGATGATGATGATGATGATGATGATGATGATGATGATGATAATATTGTTAGTTGAAACGAAAAATTAAAATGATATTGAGGTAATGTAATTAAATGTCAAAAATTAGTTTCGAGTGGGAAATTTTTGTTTAGGGAAGACATTTTGGTTTTATTATTATTATTAAAGTGAAATTTTTTTTTTTCTTATTTTCTCTCCGCCTGGAAAAAGTCGATAAGGTGATGATGATGATGATGAGAATACTCTTTACCTACTTCCACGTTTTTATTCCCATCTTTTACTCATTAACTCTATCATCACGCACTTTCTAAATTATCATAAAAGAGAAAAAAGGGAAAAATTTTGTCGTCGTTTTATAATTTTCGACTAATTATAAAATATTCTTTGATGATGTTTTCGTTTTTGACGACGACGACGACGACGATGACGACGATGACGTTTTAAATATTGTACCTGAAAATTTTTGATGAAATAAACACGACGACAGGACGAAGTGGCAGACAAACAGGGAGGCAGGGATTTCGATCCGAGACGGTTCCATTTTTAGGTTTTCGTTTAAGGTTCATTTTCCTCGGGTGTTTTTCCACGTGTGCGAACGGGGGTGGGGTTGGGGGGTGGAGGTAGGGGGTAGGTACGTAGGTGCGAGATTCGAAGTGCTGTTGTTGGTTATTTATTGTTATTAATTGTCGAATTAATTTTTTTATCGTATAATAATTTTGTTTTTAAGCTTTGTAAGGAATTTTCCAGAATTTCCGGGAAGGTGGGAAAGAGAGGGGAAGTTTGTTTGTTTTGGAAATGCGAATTGTGATCGATCAATGAGGGGAAAGTCGATGAACGAGATTTTCACTTTCGTATTCTTTTTTGCCCCCCCAAACCCACAAAAAAAAAAAAAAATTAACACGCACGCACGCACATGCACACGTAAATCTTTCCCTCGAACGGGAAATTAAAGCTTTCGGGGCGGGGGAGGGGAGGGGGAAGGAGAAGGGGCGACATCATTTTTCTTTTAGCCACTAGGTTGGTTTTTTTGCGTTTCAGCCAATAAAAAAAAAAAAAAAAAATTTGCCACAATTTTAAAAAGTAATTTAATTGCACAGCAGGAAATTCATCCTACGTGAAACCACTTTGCAACAAAAAAAAAAAAACAAAAAGAAAAAGAAAAAGAGAAAAGAAAAGAATGAAAGAGAGAAAGGAAGAAAGAAAGAGAGAGAGAAAAAAAAATTTTACCGTTAATGAAATATATATAAAGTGGAGGAAAGATACAAAAAAGAAACAAAATGTATTATTTTTCAATTCTTTTGATTTATTATTATTATTATTTATTATTATTATTATTTATTATTATTATTATTTTTATTATTATTATTAATGTGCGTCCTTCAATGTTTGTGCAACGTCGTTTCATCTCGGATTTAATTTTTTTTTTTTTTTTCAGTACACGATCAAATTCCGCGAGCGAACGTTTTCGAAATAAATGAAATAAAAAAAAAAAAAAAATTTTTTTCTCACTATTATTATTATTATCATCATTATTATTATTATCATTATTATTATTAAATTGATCGTGAATCGTACGACGCGTATACGAATCAAAATTTTTTTTTTTTTTGTTTTTTCTTTTTCATTCTGCTACGATTTCATTTTTTTTTTTTTCGTTGAAAGTCAATTTAAAAAAAAAAAAAAACATGGACGCGGATTTCCGGGGAAAAAATAATGATGATGATGATGATAATAATTAAGAGTCCGAAAAGATTTAAATGATGATGATGATGATGATGATGATGATGATGATGATGATGGGAAGAGATTTGTCACGTTTTAATTTTTCCGCTCGATGATGTGAGAAATTGTTTTGTTTGATGAAAGGAAAAGAAAAAAATTTTAAATGATTAAAAATAAATTGTCACATGGTGTAAAAGATCTAGATAGAAAAATGGCCGCCGACTCATTCGATTAACGAACGTCCGATTCCGTCGCTCGCTAATTAATTTCGCGGCGAGTAATTAGTGAAAAGTATTATTATTATTATTATTATTATTATTATTATTATTATTATTATTTTTAATTCTCTCTCTCTCTCTTTTTTTTTTTTTTTTTTTTTTTTTTCTAAGGCTTTTCGATTACGATAAATTTTTTTTATTTACGTTCGCGCTCGCTTTTTTTTGTTTTTTTACTCTATGGAAAATTTTTTCGTGCACTCGAGCCGCGTTGTCGTCGTTATTGTTGTAATTATTATTAGTTGACGTTAGTCGCGCGTTTTTAACTTACATCCGATCTTGTTTTCTTACAAAAAAAAATTTGAAAAAAAAAATCCGTTGCGCGTGATTTAACGAAAAGAAAGTTTTTTTTTTTTTTTTTTTTTTTTTTTTTAAATTTTTTATTAGTTATGGAGTCGATGGATTTATATTATTATTATTATTATTATTATGATCATTATTATTATCATCATCATTATTAATTGTTCTAAATTAATTATCATCGCGGGAACTTATGGAAAAATAATTTTTTATTTTTGTTGCCGTCGTCATCGTCGTAGCCGTCGCCGTTATATTTTTTTCCGTCGTGTAACTAGAATTTCGTAACGGTTTTTTTTTTTTTTGCATGTGAATGTGAATATTCGAAATTTTCAAATTCAAAGAATTGTTGTTTTATCAGAGACAAAATTAAAATGTATTTATCATTATTATTTATTTAAGGTGAACGTCCGTTTCCGTGCAGTTGGACGGGTTGTGGAAAAAGGTTTGCCAGATCCGACGAATTAGCTCGACACCTTAGGACTCACACGGGAGAAAAAAATTTCTCGTGTCCCGTGTGTGAAAAAAGATTTATGAGAAGCGATCATCTCAGGTGAGAGGAATTTTCCAAAAAAAAAAAAACGATAGATACAACGGGGAAAATCATTCCGCCATTTTATCTTGTTTTTTTTTTTATTATTATAGCAAACATGCGAGGAGGCATCCGAATTTCGATCCTTCGGTTTTACGTCAGAGAAGAAATCCCGCCAAGGCATTTTCCGTTAATTCAAGCGATGGAACGCCGTCCGATGTTCTTTCAGATTCCGTGCCATCTCCATAAGATAAACATAAATCACAATTTTGGTCCAGCCTATCATCATCATCATCATCAGCATCCCTACCATCATCGTCATCATCATCATCATCATCATCGTCATCGTTTACTGTTGTTTAATTTTTTTTTGTTTTATTGTTTATTATTATTATTACTATTATTATTATTATTATTATTTATGTACATATTTTTCTTAAAAATTTGTTGTTGTTGGTGGTTTGAAGAAGAATTCGAGAGAGTAGGAGGGGAGAAAAAATGGGATGGCGAGAGAGGAGGGGGGGGGTTGGAAGTTGGGTGTGCGTGTGCGTGTGAGTTGTTTGTTAAGGAAGCAAGAAAATCGTTTCATTTTCTTATTTTCCATACTAGTCGAGTCCGGATTTTAATTTTAATGATGATGATAATAATATTGGTTGTCGTCGTCGTTTTAAAATAGGAAGGGCGGGGGAGGGGAAGGGAAAGGGAAAGGGAGGGAGGAAACGGTTCGTATTTTTAGAAATTAAAAACGAAGGGGGACCGAGTTTTTAACGGTTGTTTGAAAACGTGATTATTAATTGATTCACATTTGGTTGTTGTTGTTGTTGTTGTTGCTGCTGTTGCTACTGTTGCTGCTGTTGCTGTTGCTGAAGTATAAGAACATTAAAAATAAATTAATTTATCACGGGAAACGGGATTCAGTCACGTAAAAATAAAAAAACTTTCACCTTCGCGAATCGCGAAAATTTAATTACGAAATGTGATGGGGGAGGAGGAGGAGGAGGGAGGGGAAGGAAGGGAAAGAGGAGGAGGGGTGATGGGGAGGGGGAAAGTGAGAGTTTGTTTCCTTCATTAAAAAAAAAAAAAAAAAAAAAAAAAAAAAAAAATTTTTAAATAATTATCTATGGGATTATTTTGCAACACGACAACAACAACAACAACAACAAAAACAAGCGAACAACTACAACCAAGCAACAACAAACGAACAAGATAGCACGACACTAGTCTTTTATTTAAAAATAATAATAATAATAATAATAGTCAATGAATTTGTTGTTGTTGTTGTTGGTTGTTTTTCTTATTGCAAAAAAAAAAGTAATTCATAATTGTTATTAAATTTTTTTTTTTTTTAAACGCGTTTATGCTTTATCATTTGATTATCATCATCACGTAGGTCGTTAACACTTCAATATGAAAAAAAAAAACAAAATGTCGAATCGTTTGTCGTGAGTGTGCATGTAAAAAAAAAAATAACAAAATTATTAAACACGCGCGCACACGAGAGGGGAAGGAAAGAGGGGAAAGGGAGGAGAGGGAGGGGGGAAATCAGCTCAAATACATTAATAAATTGTTGTTGTTGTTATTATTATTATTAAAAAATTAAAATAAAAATTTTTTTTATTTATTCATGTATTTATTAATTAATTTTAATAAACGGGGATATTAATTGAATTTACAATTCAATTAATTTTTTTTTTAAAGGAATGGGGAGCGGGGAGAAGGGAAGGGAGGGGGAATGAGGGAGGAGCTTAAAAGAAAAAGGAGGAGGAGGGAAAATTCAAAATTTCAAAAACAATTTTTTTTTCTGGTTTCCTTGATTGTGGCAATGAATAGCAAAAATTTGGATTTGAAAGAAAGAAAGATTTATTATTATTATTATTATTATTATTATCATCATCATCATCGCGAATCGAAATGATAATGATAATAATAATAATTACGAATACGGGTATTAATATATATTAAAATTGTTTAGAGAAAAAAAAAATTTTCTTTTTTTATTTAGTTATAAAATATTATTATTATTATTATTATTATTGATTACGTTATCAAACCGCCCTATTAAATCAAGGTTTAGGCCAATGATAGTAATTTGCGTTACCCCGACTTTCTTTTTTTTCGGGGGAGGGGGAGGGAGGGGTTTAATTGCGAATTTGAAAGTAATGTTTGTTAAGAGAAAGAAAAACCACCAACACAGCGTCACGACCGCCCCCACTCTCCCCTCACCACCACCATCGTAATCATTACAATTGAAACCACCACCCCTCCCCTCATCACCGTCATCCACCCATTTCCCCCTCTCCCCTCCTCCTACCCCAGTTAAATCATCCGGTATGAAAAAATTTAAGAAAAAAATAAAAGAAAAAAAAAAGAAAAAAAATTTTCAATTGTCTTCCATTTTCTTATATTGTAACTTAATAATAATAATAATAATAATAATAATAATAATAATAGTTTTTTGTGGATTCGATACCTCGGTACAATAATAATAATAATAATAATAATTTTTTATTTTCGGCCGTTATTAAAATTATAAACGCGTTCGAGTTCGATATATATATATATATATATATATATATATATATATATATATATATATATATATATATAAATTTTTTATTTTAACGCGACTTATAACCGTGTTTTATTATTATTATTATTATTTTCACGCGACGAATAAAAATCCACGTGGAAAAACTTTTCATTTGTAAATATATATAAAATATTATTATTATTATTATTAAAATGATCGCGTTTAGGGTACAAATATTGTAATATAATCATCAATGCATTATGCATGTGCATACATTATATATATATATATATATATATATATATATAAATTAGTATAAATAAGAACGTGATTTGTTTTTCGTTTTGTTTTCTTGTTTTCTTGTTTTATTATTATTATTATTTTTTTTTTTTTAATAAAATATTATTATTATCATTATTATTATTATTATTAGTATGGTCACTGTCTTAAACACGACAAGGCTCTTATTTGTCGAGGTTTTTAAACGTTTAAGCAACCAGGTTTCTACCCGAAGAATATTCCTTAGAAATAAATGCTCGAATTTCATTTTATTATTATTATTATTATTATTATTATTATTATTATTATCATTATTATTATTGTTATTTCGCGACAATAAAAAACTAAAAAAAAAAAAAAAAAAGAAAACAAATCAAAAGGTGTAATAATAACAATTATCCGAAAAAATCTGAAAGTGGGGTGGGGGGAGGGGAAATAATAATAATTAAAAATTATAGTTATTAGCAGACGATAAAAATTAAAAAATAAATTTATTTATTATTATTATTATTATTATTTATTGCGGACCCATAATAACGAGAAGGTATAATTCTCAAAGTCCGCCAAGATGACAAGTGCCGAATTTGCCAAACGCAGCCGGAAACCATCGACCATTTAATTTCCGGTTGTCTGATATTGGCAAAACATGAATATCTGGAGAAGCACAATAAAATTTGTCAATATCTCCATTGGAATATAAGCCGAGAATATGGAATGGATGGATTACCCAAGGAGTACACAACCAGGCATAATGCGGAAAAATGGTGTAAGTTAATTGAGGTATCCGTGCCGGCAGAAAAAAACACCAGACAGCCAAAGAAGCAGACAATAGGCTGAAATAGCCAGGATGTGGGGAGTAAAGACAGAAACGATTCCGGTCATCGTGGGAGCAGCACTGGGAACCATGATGCCACATTCAATGAAAGAAAATTTAAAGAAGATTATGAAGAACTTAAAAGAAGAGGAAACCATCCAGGAAATCGCACTATGTGGGACGGCCCACATTCTTCGGAAATAGCACCAACGAAATTCGAGCATTTATCCCTAAGGAATCAGGTAGAGATCTGGGATAAAAATCCCGACAAATAGGAGCCTTATCGTGTTTAAGAGTGACCATAATAATAATATTTATTTTGTTTTTAATCACGTGTCGTCCTTTTTACTCTCGCGGTTTTTGCTCAATACGTATATATATATACAAACAAATATAATAAAACTTTTATTATTATTATTATTATTATTAACGACAAATAAATAAAAACGAATAATAAATAAATAAATAAATAATAATATAATAATAAATAATAATAATAATAATTTAATCCGTAGGGATTTTCGTATATTGAAAAAGAAAAAATGAAGAGAAAAAAATAAAAAGAAAACAAAATGGCGGAATGAGAAAAAGTGAAAGAAAATATCGCGTAACGGTTATTAAAACATTAATAATAATAATAATAATAATAATAAATTAATTTTCGTACGAAATGGACGACGATTAGTTTTGGTTTTTGTTTTGTTTATAATAAAAAGAAAATTTTTTTAAATATTTTTGATCTCATAATTAATAAAAAAAAAATAAATTAGATGGATCGATCGATAATTAATAATAATTAATAGTTAATCGATTAGTTTACAATTAATTATTATTATTATTATTATTATTATTATTATTGCCTGATAGATTTTTATCATCCCCATCCCCTCCTCCAGTATTCCATCACCATTCGTCCGTTTTCGGTGTCGATCTTCTAAAATTATTTTTTCCAGTTATTTGACTTACAAACGTGAGAGGAGTCGATAAATATAACGGATATTTTAATTTTAACTGAAATGATAACAAATTGTATTGTTTGTTTGTTTGTTTGTTTGTTTGTTTGTTCGTTTGTTTATATATATAAATAATTAAATAAGTAAAAAAAAAAAAAAAATTGTTTACGATTATCTTAAATATACATATACATGAAAATTATTAGTTACTCTTTCTTTTTTCTCCAGGAGGGTGGGAGGAAAGGAGGAGAAGAGAATGAGGGAGGTGTGAGGGGAGGGGAAAGGGGGGAGGGGAGGTAGATAATAATAATGATGATAGTACCTCGTCGATCTTTTCCAATTTGGAAACTTCTTTTTTCGAACAGGATTTATCCTTAATTAATTTATCTTTTTCATTTTTACTTAGATTTTCTCCAGGGAGTGGCAAATCGTCTGGATTTTTATAATGTTCAGAATAATCCGTTTCGTATGGTTCTATGACTATGTCATTTTCCATACCGTATTTTGCAAGAGTTTCATCCGTTATTAACTTAAATTAAAAAAAAGGAAAATTTTTTAAATGATGATGATGATGATTATATGCTTCATACCTTACATATATACCTTTCTGAAAAAGGCTTCCATTATTTTTTTCCTTTTTCCTTTTGTGCTTGGTATTCGATTGATGGGTACCGTATAAGTTTCATTTTTCGAACTTATTTTCAACGTTTCCGGACTTGGTTTTAATTTATCGGGATAATTAATTATCCAGGAATGTGATACGTTTGCATCCGTATATTTAAAATCTGGATCGATATCGTCTAAACATCTCGTCGCGTCCATTTTTTCCCCCTTTTTTTTTTTTACATTTCAACTAACTACATTTAAATAATAATGATAATAATATCCAACGTATATACACCTAAAATACAATTTTCTTTATATATATATATATATAACAAGTTTTTTTTAAAAACAAAATATATAAAAATAATAATAATAATAAAAATAAAAATAAAATCAAAACATAAACATTTCCTTGGAAACCATCCGAAATTCACAAACTCAATATTTAACTTATGTAAAATAAAATATATATATATTTTTCCATAATAAAATTATAATAATAATAATAATTAATTATTTCTATCACAAAATAATTTCAAATGATAATTTAAAATAAAATAATATAATAATTTTTATGTATATATTAAATATTTAGTAATAATAATAATTAAAAAAATGATTTGACATTACTTAATAAAACGCCGCCATTTTTTTTTCTATCTTTCCGCCATTTTTCCGCCATTTTTCCCCAATGATTAATTACAAAACAATTTCAATTAATTTTTTTTTTTTTTAATCACGTTAATTGTGAAGTCTTTGGTTTTTTTCACATGATTCCTTTTATTATTATTATTATTATTATTATAAATATTTTATTTAAAAAATTTATTAAAACAAAACATCTTTTTCTCAAAAGATTACAATTGTTAATTATTATTAATTAATTATTTATTTATTTATTTGTTTGATTTGAAAAAAAAAAAAAAAAAACAGAATAAAAAAATTACATACAATGATAATAATAATAATAATAAGTATAATAATTATAAAACGACTACTCATCATCAACTGTCACAAATTTTTTGATTTTAAATCAAAAATTACAAAAAAAAAAAAAAAAAAAAAATTAAAATTTATTTATTTGTTAAACCCAATTCCCTATGAAAAAAAAAAAAAAAAAAAAAAAAAAACAAATTTAAGCAATTAAAAAAAATGATTTTTTTTTTTTTTTTTTTTTTTTTGTAGAAATAATAATTAAAAGGATTTTTTTTTATTTTTTTATTTTTTTTTTTATTATTTAGCTTCTGCTCTGGCTTCGATGGCATCTTCTTCTCTTCTTATGTACACGGGCGGTGATCTTCCGGCTACCGTTTCTTCGTTCACGTGCACAGCTAAAATATCACTTCCGGGTACTTCGAACATGGAATCCAATAGTAACGTTTCCATAATGGCTCTCAATCCTCTGGCTCCGGTTTTTCTTTCCATCGCCTGACGTGCTATTCCTCTCAATGCTTCCGGTGAAAAAGTCAAATCAACCTGTGGATGGAGTGTGTGACAATAAATATCATTATTATTATTATTAATTACAATCATTCTTTTCTTTTTTTCACAGGTATTCTGATGAACACCACGGTTATACCTTATCCATGCTGAATAACATTTGATATTGAGGAACTATCGCATTCTTCGGCTCTGTTAAAATCCGTACTAAAAAATCTTCGTTAAGAGAATGAAAAGCAACTAGAACGGGAAATCTTCCGACGAATTCCTATTGGATCAAAGGGAGAGAGAGAGAGAGAGAGAGAGAGAGAGAAAACAAAATGAGTAAGTAAATTCATTCATTCATTCATTCTTATTAAGTAACAAAGGGATTTTTCTTCCCCGAAATTGGGATATTTACTGGAATCATTCCAAATTCAATTAAATCCCTAGCTTCGACTTGTCTTAAATACGCATCCTTTTCCGCATTATCCTGTTCGGCTGAATTAGGCGAATTGTAATTTGCTTGATCCGCGAGCGATGCAACTCGACGATTAGGCGAATCCGTCGCAGGTACACCAAAACCAAGGTACTGAAAACAATTATTATTTTAATTTTTGTTTTGTTTAAACCCCTTGCGAAAGTTCCTTTTCATTCATTTTTAAATACCTTTTCATTTTTCCTACGACTTATTAAATGATCCAAACCGTTGTAAGCACCCGACGCGACAAACAATATATTAGTCGTATCCACTTGTATTGTTTCTCCTCTGAGTTTTCTCGGTGAATTTTTTTCCGGTACGTTAACTATCGTTCCCTCCAACATCTGAAATTAATTTAATTAATGTCCGATTACAAAACCCAACACCACCACCACCACCCACCCCCCCAAAGAAATTCAACTTGGCAGGAATCCTTGGTTACCTTTAACATTCCTTGCTGAACCCCTTCACCTCCTACGTCTCTCAACTGGTGAATCCCAGGTACGGCTCCTATCTTATCAACTTCATCTAAAAATACAATACCGGTTTGTGCTCTTTCGACCGAATAATTGGCATCTTGCAATAGTTTCGCTATAACGGATTCGATGTCTTCGCCTACGTAGCCAGCTTGCGTTAGCGTCGTACAATCACAAATGGCAAATGGAACATCTAAACACTGAGCTATCGTTTGGGCTAATAACGTTTTGCCTAGTTTAAATACACAAAAGAAGAAGGATGAAGGCAACCTTATTTCCGTTGAATCACGTTATTCGTTTAAGGTAATCGTACCTGATCCCGTCGGGCCCAGCATTAATATATTACTTTTATCTAAACGAAGTTGATGGGTCGTCGAATCCAAAATTTCACTTCCTCCGGTACTCCTTCTATTATCACTTTGTGACGGTTGAAATTCTACACCCATTGATGATAAAGACCCCATATTATTAAGGTGAAGAACATCTGATAAAAACAATATTCTTTTACCGAATTCGTGGAATCGATAATAATAATAATAATGAATGAGTGAAATTTTTAAAAACCGGAAATAGTTTGTAAGGGAGGTAACACAAAAACATGATGGAAATCATAAATTAAATAAACATGGTTCTTTATTAAAACTTACAACTCGATATTTCATTTTTGAAAACTCACCCCTTTGAGAAAGCGGTTGAGATGATGAATTATCAGAACTGACATTAATTGGAATATTGTTATAAATTCTCTTATAATGATTATACACTGCTACAGATAGTACTTTTTTAGCATGTTCTTGACCGATTACATAATTATTTAAATATTCATAAATCTGCCAAAAAAAAACATTTAAAAAAAAAACAAATATTATAAATTATTATTATTATTATTATTATTATCAATAATTGGAAATCATTTCTTACTTTCTTTGGAGGAGGAGGAGGTTTTTTATAAAATCCATTTTTCACATCTTCTTTGTTTTCTTTTAAACCTCTTTTCGAATCGACATCGGACAAGAGAACAAAAAAATGATGACATTTTTGACATTTCACAAACCTAGTAGAAGCTGGAAAAAAAGTAATAATAATAATAATAATGAAAATATGTAAATTTATAGTGCTGTAATGATATCACAAAATTTATTGTCTGTACTTACTGACAAAAGTCTCGACATGTGTACATGGATCGCCACATTTTGGACAATTTAATCCATCTCTGTGACCTCTACTACCTCCGCTTGATATTGGTGGTGGGGGAGGAACAGATTTTTTAAAACCATCTTTACTAAAACTTGATGAATTATCTTTTAAAATAAGAGAACTGGTCGAAAACGTTTTTAAAATCGGGGTCCTAGATAAAGAATTCAATGAGCAAAATATCAAAACCTGAGAACTATGACTGAGTTTTCGACCAGCGTTGGCCCAACAGCGGACTGAACTCATAACTAAAAATTTTGTTTTAATCAAGGCCAAATCTAAAAACAAAAAGAAATATTCTCATGAAAATATTTGAAAAACGGAAACAATATCGATAAAACAATATCAGCATTTTATTATAATTCTTTAACATTAAGAAAAACTCTTTGACATTAATAAATTTAAATTTAATAATTTAAAAAAGTAAAATTTTCATGATAAATACATTTGAAAACTTAAAAGAAACCATATGTTCAATAAATATATTTTTAAATGAGTGTTTCACTTGTAAAGCTATATATTATATAATAGACGATGAGACAAAAATGGCATATTGTTTAATAATGATTCGAAAGAAATCAAAATTTCAAGGTCATTTTTTGTAAAACTAAAAAAACACAAAAACCATTAAGAATATGTAAAACTATTGTTACAACTCAATCAAAAGAAAGTAAGTACAGTCCAATGAGAAAAAAAAAAAAAAAACAAAACCCCTGAAAAAATTATTTTGCAATAACATATACCGAGTATATTAAAACTAACATTACTAACAACTCATGAGTGCAGCAGACCTAAGAGTAATAACAGAAGTAGATATTTTTAAACATTTGTTTAGAATAATTGGAAGTAAAAAAAAAACCAAAATATAAAAATAAAACATTACCTTAAGCATTTTATTATTATTTCAGGCTTAAAGGAATATGCAACAGAGACATTTTTATTGCACTAAAAATTTTGCAATCATCAATTACACGACGTATAAATTAAAAATTCGAATAAAATTTTATTTTTACGTGAAAATTTAGATGGGTATGCGAAAAAGATAATATATTTTTTTTTTCGGCATAATAATTATCGTCGAAAAGAAAAAAAGAAAAACTATACAAATAATTGCTTGCATAAACAAAAGAAGTAAAATTTATTGGTTGTGATTAAACGACGAACTTGTCAATAATTTTACCTTCTAAAATAGAAGCAATATTTCTTAATGCACATTACACAAAAAATTGTTCTCTGTACATCTGATTGTATTAAAAAAATTCCTAGAAAACAAAAAAAAAAAAAAAAAATCAAACTACCTCGGAATTTTAACGATCTTTTAGTTATATATTATAGGCTAACCTGTGTTTACAAATAGGTTGATTCCATTTTCGCGTAATCCATTGGCATTTAAAAATTTCCTTTGAAAACAATATTAATTTCCTTTCATAAAATTTTTTTTTCAACACAATTTTCAAACGACCAATCAAATCAAACCATTTGTGTCAGGGTTTCATATCTTAATGTAGAAAAGTAATGAATGAATAGGTTTCTCCAGATTGTCTGAGGCATTATTTATCAGTGAGACCCGGCCAATCAAAGTCAACTTCCACGTTGAACAATACTCTATACTAAAACGAAATCAATATTTTTATTTTTATTTTATTTTTTTATTTTAATATTTAAATACCGTGTATATTTTATATGATATAAAGTTCACCAAGTGTTTTTTAACACATAAATCAAATTTTAATCTTGTTTTATCATCTTAAAGGATCTATCTTGTGATTGTGAGAGAGAAAAAAAAAAAAAACAACGATTTGATTATTTTTAAGGGGTGTGACATGTTTTTTGATTGTTTTTCGTACAGAGTTATGATAACGGTGATCCTTTAATACTTTCAAAAATTTTAAATAAATCAAGTGTTTGCGTTATTTAACCTGGTGGTAATTTCCGATTGATGCAATGTTCATTCAAGTTAAATATGTTATAACTAATCACCACGTGATAACCATATTGAAATATATAAAACCATTTTTACTACATTAAAATAAACATCTGAGTTTTTAATATGTCAGTTTCTACTGACATAAGTTTAATGGATATCCTTTTCGACAGGGATGATCCTGTTTTGAAATTTGCCGAAGACAAAGATGTTTTCAAGCAAGAATTTGATGTTCTCGATTCAAAATCAGATTTACTTTGTGAAAAGGTAAAGGTGAATAAATTATATACAAAGAAATTTGTACATCTATTTTTAAAACTATTGGGCATTAAATAGATTTATTGATTAAAAATAGCTTGCCATTTTTTTATTATTAAGCTTAAATATTTCAATACCATATTTTTTTTAAAAATCCCTAAGGGCAATCCATATTGTATGATGACTGACCTTTGTGTTTGACATAATTAACTCGAAATAAAAGTTTTCGAAAATATCATTAATGTAATTATTAAACGATTTAAATTTTTTTTTTTTTTTAATTAAAATTTTATTATTTTTAAATGAATTTCAGTTAGATGGAGTAACAGTATTATTGGCATAAAATAAAAAAATTATTTTTTTTTTAAATATTGAATTTTTTATATTGTGGCCATATGGTTTTAATGCACCAATAAATTTATAAAAAATAATTTTTTTTTTTTTTTTTTTTAAAAATGAAAACATGAGTCAACATGTATGTGAAAATAAAATAATTTTTTAGTCTTATAAATTTGTCCATTTTCATTTAATTTTTTTGTATTGCTTTTTTAAAATTTTTGATTTAGTCATTTATTTTTATTGTTGCTTTTTTAATGCTAGCTTGAGCCATGGGTGTCAGATGCTGATGAACTCCTGAAAGATATTTTAAATGATGAACATTTTAACTTGCTTGATAGAGATCCAGAAGATAGCGAATTAAATTGTTTTGACACGACTTTGTCCGATTGGAAACCGATAACAAACGATGAATATGGTATTAAAGAAGTTGTCGTCGGATCTTCTTCAAGTGCCTATTCAGATAGTGGGCTCTCTAGCGATCAAGTTTCCCCAGGTAAGACAAAAAAAAACAATTGCAGAATTTTTTATTTTGTTTGTGTGAAAAACAATTTTTAATAATTAGTGATTTTTACACAGGATTACCAATTGATTATGATTTCACACCTAACCAATTGGATGATGATGAAGATGCGGATGATGATGGGCACATATCTTCAGCCGTTTCGACTATCAGCGATGCTTCGGCAACTTTACTTTCTGCAAGCGACATAAAAATAGAACCTCAAGAAATTAATTCATCATCCCTGCTTGAAGATGAAATGGCAGTTTTGGGTAAGTTTTAAAATTTAAAAAATTTTACACAAATCTTTAAAACAGTAACTTAGTTCCTTTTTTGTTAAACATTTCAGGAATTCTTCCATCCGAAACTCATCAAGTTGAAATAGAAAAAAAAAAAATTCAGCAAATAACAAATTTATCATCATCAGTTGTAACAACAAATCCCAGATCCATACTTCTTCCGGTTAACACTGGAAATGGAATTAAAACATACAAAATAGTGAACAGTTCAAATGGTTGTAAAACATTCAAAGCTGTCAAGCAATTGGAAAAGGCTAAACCTGTCGTTTTAAAAACTGTCAGACCTACAGGAATGCCGTTGGTAAATGGACAGGATAAAACAATTAATTTTAAAACGAATAATATTATGATTAATCGAGACATTTACATTTACAGGTATTGAAAAATGTTAAAAATCAAAGTGCCCAGAAAAAAATTAAAAGTAGATCGATTAAATATGTAGCAGAAGAAACGGATGAAGAAGAGGAAATAACAGTTTTGTCCGATTCTGAAGATGACAAAGTTAAATCTCAATATCCGAGATTGATTTTATCACCGGAGGAGAAAAAATTAATTCAAAAAGAAGGAGTTCGTTTGCCTTCGCATTATCCATTGACAAAATTTGAAGAAAGGGAATTGAAAAGGATTCGAAGGAAAATTAGAAATAAAATATCAGCTCAAGATTCGAGAAAAAGAAAAAAAGAATATTTAGACGGATTGGAAGATAGGTAAGAAGGACAGAAATCAAATAATATTTTTTTTTTTCTCTTCGACATTTTAAATAATTATAGCATTTTATTTTATTTTATTTTTTTTTGTGTTTAAATTCAACCTACTTTCGAAGGCTGAAGTTGTAAATTGTAGGCACCATCTTGTAGGCTTGCATTCTTTAAAAAAAATCCAAGGTTTATTTTAAAATGAAGCCTTTGTGACATAAATTTCAATGAATTTGTGTGTGTGTGTGTATATTTTTTTTTTATAGAGTTAAGCAATGCACAGAAGAAAATTTATCCTTGATAAAGAAAATAAAACTTCTTCAATCTCAAAATCAATCACTTATGACGCAAGTTAAAAAATTGCAACTCACGTTGGCTAAAACGACAACGAAAACAGCTCAACCGGCCACTTGCCTGATGGTGATCATGTTGTCGGTTGCTCTTATAATGGCTCCAAATCTGAGAATAACACAAAATAACGAAAATGATATTGGAGATCAAGAAGTGTCAGACAAAACGTTGCAACCTGTTGCAGGTACACATTTGCCTGATTCTCATTTTTTTACGATTAGTTTTTGTTTTTTATTAATAATTTGAAAATTTTCAGGTCGTACTCGGAGTTTGTTGTCGAAAAGCACTTCGCAAGATTCCGTCAACGAGGAAGATGGTAAAATTTCACAAGAAATGCAATCGGATCGATCTACTTCCGTTCATACAAACAGTCCATATTCTTACATGCACATGGAATTATCGTCTCGAAACAATTACATTTTAAAATCGGATCGTTCTAGAAAATCGTCGATCGGAAGTTCGTCAAGCGGTTACGATAGTCCACCACATTTTTTGGTCGATCACGATTACGATCCACCGCCTGCTAAAAAGAATCGATTTCATTTTTCTGAAAATGAAGAAACGGAGGAAGAGATGTTGAGAAAAAAATTCATACTTCCGCCCGTCGATGATATATGGCCGGAACCATCGTCGGTCGAAAAGGTCGGGACGAAACCTAAAGAATTTATTATTCCAGACATCGATGATGAGTGGGTACCCAAACAATCGGTACTCGCGGATAAAATCGAGTCACTAACGACGGAGGTTAAGGTAAACATATCTGATTCCAAGGGCACACGCACGGTCGTCATTCACGTTCCGAAAGAGCAAGAATAAAACTCAGTCAAAATTGGTAAAAAATTTCATCTTACATTTTTTTTTTTTTTTTTTTTTCTGTTATTTTCCCCTGTCAGTAATAATAATGATAATAATAATAATGATCTCAAACCTTACAATGTTAATTATCCCGATGAAAGGAAATTCTTACGCGAGTTTCAATTTAATCGGGTTATTTAGCTTATAACGATGAAAAAAAAAAAAAAAATTTAAAAAAAAACCGTTAAAAATTTAAAAAAAAAAAAAAAACCGTTAAAAATTTTAAAAAATTATTCCGTATAAGATTTTATTGTTTTTTTATTAATAGGCAGTTTGATGATGAGTTTATTTTGCTTTTGCGGAGGAAGAATCCCTTTTTTTTTTTTGATAAAAAACAAAAAAAAAAAAAACAAAATGATAACCGAAAAAAAATCTCTTTTAAAAATTATTTAAAACAATTATCAATTCGTTGTTAATGTTTTCCCCCTCCCCGCTGCCCCACTCTCCCCTTCCCCCAATGTCAATGAACTTTACGTCGAAATTATAAATATTATCGTCTCATGCGAAAATAATAATAATAATAATAATAATAATAATAATGTTAATTGTTGTTGCGAGAAAAAAAGGTTTTGGAGGCATTGGAAAATTTGAAAAAATTTAAAATTAATTAATTGTTATTTTTATTTATAGGTTTTATTATTATTATTATTACTATTATTATTATTATTTTTTTTTTTTGTTTAATTTTATTTATAATTTTACATAAAGTATAATAATCATTTAGAGTTTAGTATATTATGTTTATTATTATTATTATCGAAATATAAATATATATTCGTACGTTTTAAAATTGATGATGATGATGATTATAATATCTTTAATAAGTTTTTGCTATTGTGACGTCAGCGTCTTCGTCATCGTCGACGTCATCATCGTCGGTGGCGATTTCCAGTTGAATTTGTTTAAGAAAAAAAATCGAAATTAAATTTTTTTTTATTAACAATTAATTGATTTATTATTATTATTATTATTATTATTATTATTATTATTATTATTATTATTATTATTATTATTATTTTATACTATTATTATTATTATTATTATTATTATTATTTTATACAAAAGTTTCGGATTTTTAAATGAATAAATTTTCGTTAAGGTCAACGTCCTTTCATTAATCAAAATAAACAAATGTCGTCGTCATTTTGTTATAAATTATCGAACGTTAAATAATTTGGGTTTAAAATTTTGGGAGGTGGTGGTGGTGGTGGTGGAGGGGTGGGGAGGAGGAATTTTAAATTAACCGAACCGTTTTTTGCCCCCCCCCCCCCCTCTGTACTAATTGGAAATCGCCATTTATTATTATTATTTGTTATTATGTTATCGAATTCGGTTTTTTTTTTTTTTTTTTTTTTACGTTTTGTTAATGAATTTGTTTTCCATTGTTTTGAAATAATTGTCAAGTTAGTTTTAATTTTAAAATAATAATAATGATAATAATAGTTTCGTACGTAAAATTATTTTAATTTGTTTTAAATATTTGGAATGAATTATATAAAAAAAAAAAAATTATTAGTAAGGTTTGATAATAATAAAATTTTTTTTTTTTTTTTTGTTTATTATTTAATGAAAGAAAGAAGGAAAGGGCTGAGTTCCTCATAATAATATTGTTAATTAAACACACAAACAAATAAAATGTGAGTAACGGCAAGAATGAAGACTTTGTTGTTGTTTTTGTTGTTGTTGTTATTATAAAATTGGTGTCAGAAAAAATGTCGGAATAAATGATATAAAAAATGATAAAAAATTTTTTTTTAATTATTTTCATAGTTCAAGTTCCATCATAATAATAATAATAATAATCATAATCAAGGCCTAAAAATAATTGAAAATTTAATTTTATTGATTTATGTTGACAAAAGTTTTTGTTTTTTTCGATTTGTTAATAACTTTTTCAACTTCATCAACTACTTTTTCTAATACTTTTTCCATTTCCTCATCGCTCGATTCAAATTTAGGAATTTCTATAACGTTATTTATATCATAATCATCATCATCATCGAAATCATAAACGAATTCAAATGTATCACCATTAAGACGATCATCGAATAAAAATTTTATTTCTTCCGGTAATGGTTTCTTATCAGAACGATAATTATAACAATCAGGATCGTAACATTTTTGATAATATGCTAAACATGATAAATCAATAATAAATGTTATGTTGTTACTTTTATGTTGTCTTTTTATGTTATCACAATATCTATACCCTTGAATTTCGTATAATATTGATGATTTTTCACAAAAAAATGTTTTCCTTCTTATGCTCCCATTTGGAAATATCAACTTATTTATAAATGAATCTATTTCTGGATAAACTGACGAACTGGAAATTATTTTTTCTTTACAAGCATTTGTCATCGATAACTTGGTTTTTTGTTCTTTGGTATTTTCAAAATTATTAAAATCTAAAATTCTACTAACTGTCCATGAAAAACAAGTGACTAATGAATCCTCGAATAAATTGCACTCATTAATATTTTTCATATCATTCGGTTTGTACTTGTTATTTTCACTCGGGACAAGTGGGATATTTTTATTTTGTTTTGATGATCCTAATAATCTAAAATGGCGATTTTTAGTGTAAACACCTTCATCAATCAATAATTTTATTTTTCCTTTATCATTGTTAACAAACAATTCAAGAATTTCATTCGATGATAAGTTATAAGTTTTTGAAAGTTTTGTCAATTGTTCACAGTCTCCATTAACATCTAAAAAAAAAAAGGCATATTTTAATTAAATTAAATTTTCAAATTTATCAAATCATTATAATATTTGGTAACTTAACTGTTTTCATAAGCTAGTTTTAATTCATTACAAATGCTTTTTACAAAATTTCCCACAGCATAATTATTATGAAATGCGACATTTTTCAATTGATAAATTATGTGACGACTAAATTTTACATCACTGCTCGAATCCAATTCTAATATATCATTTTCAGTACAATAAATTTTAAAATGAAGCATTAAATTGTAATTAATTATATTTAAAAGGTTTTTTAACATTCGTTCTTTACAACTGTTCTCATTGTATTCATATTCGAATTCTATATCTAAATATAATTTACAAGCTGCGTATTCTAGAATGATTTCATAAGTGTTGCAATTTTTAAAAAAACGATTTTGATTGTATGACCAAAATATTTTTGGATGAGCAACTAAAAACATTCTTCTTCCATTAACATCTTCAAATGCAAAACACATTAATCCGTTTCTACGTTGTAAAGCACAATCTATTGCATCTTGTTGTTTTTTAAAAACCATCCATGTTTTAGATGGACCGAGTAATTTTTTAGTAAACAGTGGAGATATTTGATTTTCTTTAAAATTTTGTTTCTTGATAATAGCTTCAATTTTATCTTGCCTCGCTAACTTTTTACCATAAAACTTGTCGGGAGGTATTTCGCAAAATGTTTGCATTTTGAAAAACTAATATATATATATATATATATATATATATATATATATATATATATATATATATTTTAAATGTCGTCAAAACATAAAACTAGCAAATACAAAAAAAAAAATTTCTAAATACTACCATTATCACAATTAAAATTTTTTTGGCGGTAAATTTTGTCGTGGAATAACAAATTACGACAAGTAAGTGGCAGAAGATTTCCTAATAACTTTACGTAGTTTAAATTCATCAACATGGCTGAGGTTAGTAATATTTTAAATTTTTTTAATCTTTTTTAATTTAATGCATCTTTTAATTTATTAATACCAAAAAAACAGCAACGTTAATTATGGCTTTAATACTTTATAGAATTATTTTTTAATATACTGTCAGGCATTTTAAAAAGCAAAATGTTTTCATTAATTTACCTTCTGTTTTTTTTTAGGTGGATGAAGCACAGAAGAAGAAAAGGGCATTTAAGAAGTTTACCTTCCGTGGAGTTGATTTAGATCAACTCCTAGACATGCCAATGTAAGTAAATTAAAATTATTTTTTTTTTATTTTGAAATTATTTATTTGCGATTCTAAACAAATATTTATAACCTATAATTGTAGTGAACTTTTGATGGAACTTATGCATGCCCGTGCTAGAAGGAGGTTTTCGAGAGGTTTGAAAAGGAAACCAATGGCTCTTGTTAAGAAATTAAGAAAGGTTAAAAAGAAAGCACCTCCAAATGAAAAACCAGAAGTAGTTAAAACTCATTTAAGAAATATGATAATAGTGCCAGAAATGGTTGGCAGTATTGTTGGAGTTTATAATGGCAAAACCTTTAATCAAGTTGAAATTAAGGTGAGTTCAATAAAAACCGTTATTTTAACAATATATCAACAATCACCGTTTTATTCTCAATCGCAGAAACTAATTTACCTAAATTTTTTTAGCCCGATATGATTGGACATTATTTGGGAGAGTTCAGTGTGACGTATAAACCTGTAAAACACGGAAGACCCGGTATTGGTGCCACACACAGTTCTCGTTTCATACCACTTAAATAAGTTCATGTAATTTTTAAATATAAAATTTTGATTAAAAAAAAATGTTTTTTCTAATTTTTCTTTTAAATTAAGATGCACAGAAATTATTCATTGGATTGATAAGTAAATCTGATTTGTACTCTCCCAAATTTGATGATTAATCTTGCCATTACTTAATTATGGTAAAAATCATTGTTATTGTTAATTATTTATTGGTAATTAAATATTTTTTAATTAACAATAAATAATTAGATTGTTATATTTATCAATAACGAGTTTTATCAATGGAAAATATACAAATCGTGTAGGTTGATAACTTTTTGATAGGTAAAACAATAAAAACATTCAACGAATACAATTTATACATAATATTTATTTAGTAAAATATTAGGGTGATAAATAAAAAGTGAAATACAAGAGATTATTTGGAAAATTTTCATATAAAAATATATAAAATATAATAACAATAACAATGAAAAAATTTTTGTTTTTTTAAATTAAAAACTTTTTAATATCGAAAAAAAAATAATAATAAGAAGCAAGTTACTTATTATTTTTAAGCAAGATGAGGGCATACATTTTTTTTTTTTGTACGATAAGAAAAAATTATACAAAAGAATCATCATTATTATTAAAATTTGTTTTTTTTTTTTTTTTTTTTGATAAAAAATTATGTAAAATTTATATTTTGTTCTTTTACACTTGATGTTCGGAATGGCATTTTTCATTTAATTTATAATTTTTTTTTTAAAAAAACATCTTTTAATTTTAGGTTTTTTCTTTCTTTTCATTTTCTATTAATTAATTAATTAATTAATTAATAATTACTGTAATAAATAATTATCGGAATAATCAAATTCTTCCGATTTATTTGTCGAATTATATTCGTTATTGTAATAATCAATCGTTGAAGAACTTTTTGAATTATTTAATTGTGTTAAATTTTCTTCTGCTTTATTGATAACGTTATCATCAATATTTGTATTTGATAAATCGGATTCGATTTCGGTTAAATTATTTCCAGATTTTTCTCCCGAATCCCGATTTAATTTTTTTTCATTTGTTTCATCTTCGATGACCGCCATCAAAGTTTCCGTTTCTTTTTTTTCTGGAGTCTCGACAATATTCGTTTGCTGCGTTGCCAAATTTTCGATTACGTTCGAATCAACTACATCCGGTAACGTACTACTACTAATTTTTACCTCTTCCGTTCTCTCTTTTAAATTAACAATTTGTTCTGATTTTCTTTCCGTGACGTTTGTTTCAGGTTTGGGTGTTGATTCCGCAGAAGATTTATTCAAAGATTCTTCTCCTTTCGAAATATCCACCACGATCACGCTTTGGTTTTCCTTTTGATGTGATTCGTCATCAAACGTCGAATTCGAAGGTTCCGGCGGAAATTCTTCTTCTTTTCTTTCAGTCTTGTCCTCGGTTGTGTCAACATTTAACGGATTCGATTTTTCTTCGGATTCTTTTTCTCGATCTGGACAACTGTGTTCGTTTTCATTGTCCTTTTTAAACTCGATTTTGTCTTCCGGTTCATCTTCATTCGTATCATTAATCATTATTATTACTGATTTTTGATTATTACATTCCGTTTCGTTCGAACTTTTGTCGTTATTATTTTCTACCAAACAAATTTGTTCTTTTTCCCCGCTCAAGTCATCTTTCACAATATCTTGTTTTTCTAAAGTGACGTCATCATCATTCGATGTCTTCTGCCCAGAATTAATTAATTCGAATGAATTTTTCTCATCACCAATCACGGTTGTTTCCATTGACTCGGTGCTCACATCTTTACTACTTTCCATAAACGTTTCATTATTTTCTTTTTTCGAATTCATTTCTCCTTCAGACGATGGACATTCTTCGACATTTTTTTCCTCCTCTAAATTGTCCGCAATTTTCAAATTATCAGTAGAAATATCCGTAGCAGCTGAACTTTCACCTTTACTCGAATCCGATTCGTTTATTATATTTTCTGTTTGTTCTTTTACGTCATGCGTTTGTAGTGCGTTACCATCATCACTGCTATTATTATTATTATTGTGAATATTATTATTATTATTATTATTATTTTCACAAATTTCTTTGCCATTTTTATTTTGATCGGAATCCAATTCGATGACGTCATTATCGTTATCGATATTTTTAATTGATTTATCCACGTCCATGGGTTCGGGTGTTATAACGTCTTCGGATTTAACTTCCGTTTTAACTTCCGTTTCTTCTTTTTTGACATCATCATTTTGTAAATATATTTTAAAATTATATGTAAATTTGTTTGTCATTTCATCATCATCATCGGATTCGCATATCATATCCAAATCATCATTACACGCTTCATCATCGTCACAGTAAACAATTTCACATTTAGGTACTTTTTTTGGCGGCTTTGTGACTATTTCGTATTTGGTTTTCGTAGGCGTCACATTTTTCTTAATCGTAATTTTTTCACCATCGTATTTAACTTTTTTCGGAGGAGCCGTTACTTTTTTTATAGTGATTGTCGTATTGTAAACGGGAGTCGAATTTTTCCTAGAGCCCCTTCTAGAAGATTCTCTACCTTTTTTCGGCTTGACAATGACATCTAATACTTCCAAATCCGAATCTTCATCTTCTTTTATTTTTCTTTTTAAATTTTTACTATTTCCAACGGGTATATCATTGGAAATCATTTCTAATCGTTTTTTAGCTTCTTTAGTACCACATTTTTCTTCGTAAACTTTTTTCATTTTTTTCAAATCGTAGTCTGATATTGTCCATTCGAAAAATTTCTTACCTGATAATGGTAAAATACGCGTGGGATCATTTTTCACTGCATATTTAGGTATTTTTATATTTAAATGTTTCATTAGCATTGTCATAACCTCATCAACATATGCATGTATTAATAAATTTGCTTTCCTATCCTTGAAAAAAAAAAAAAAGAAAAGCGTAACAAAGTAAATAAATTAAAGCTTAATCTTAATTCTTTTTTTACATTCTTTGAAAAAAAACTGATAACTTACATGTTTTGTAGGTTGCAAATTTACTATTACTAATTTCCCTCCATGCCTTTTGGTATAAAGAGGTAAATTCCCGCTAGGAACTATTTGCATTGTTGTGCCTAAACAAATGCTTAAATCAGCCAAGCTAAAAAAAAATTTTTTTTTTTTTTTCATGTATTTATGTATGTTAGTTTATATGTATCTTAATTTTTTTTTTTTTTTTTTGTTTACCAGGAATGATAATCAGCCATTCCTAAATCATTTTCAGGAAGATTATGCTCCCAGTCCAATATAGTATCATGTAGTCTTCCACGACAAGGTCTACCATTTGCTTTTGTGGCAGGACAATTTTTATTTATCGATTTCTGCCCTACTGTTGGCACAGGTGAACTTCTAACAAACTGCCTAAAGGTAATATTAATAAATTATTGTTATAAACAATAAACTCTATTCTTTGAATTAAAAATTTACTAAACTCTCTTTAAATTTTAACCATAATACTAAACCTTCTTATGTGTACTAATAAATTTTAACTTATTAATAAAAATGTCTATAAAAATTTACTAATCCTACCTATTGCAAGAATTGCATTGTTCAGTAAACATGTTCCCATGTAACTCGGACAAATATTTCCTTCTTAAATTTGATCTTAAATGAAGACCATCGATATTTTGACTAACGACATATTTAACTTTTTGTTTTTCTACAAGCTTCATGATGGCCATATGAGTAACCGTTGGTATGGCCTCATTAAAATCTTTACTTAAATCAGGTTTTTCACCTTTAGCTTGCAATGTCCATACTCCTCTTGGACCCCTGATTAACAAACATTATGAATGATAAAAATCAAAATTCAGAATACTCGACAAAAAAATTTTTTTTTTTTTTCTTCTTACCTAAAATCTGGTATTCCAGCAGAGGTACTTATACCTGCACCTGTATGAATGACAACATGATTAGCTTCATTAATCCATTTGGCTAAAAGTGACACTTTTGCCGAAACAACCGATTTAATATCGAATTTCTAAAAAAATACAATAAAAGTAATATGCAAACTTAGTTTTATTTCAACTTTTGTGATAAATTTAAAAAAGCCAAACGAAATTTATAATCTCCTACCTCTTCAAGACCGAGTTGTCCTTTATCGTGATACGGGGATAACCCGTCAGCATAATTGCAAGACATTTTTCAAAATTAATAAAACTCATAGAAAATGATAAGCTTTATGTTACATAAAAATAATTTCATGATTTGTCGCAGAAGATTTTCAATCCATTAAAATCTACCAATTAGCGACAAAATCAAATCTCTTCACGACAATAACCGCGTAAATGTCAGTTTGACTTTTTTTTTTTTTTTTTTTATAAAATGTATTAAAATGTGTTTAAAGTTATATTAAAAATAATTATTGATATTTTTTTCTGTGAATTGACGGAAATAATAAGCGTAAAAGGATTATAAAAAATAGTAAGTAATAAAATCCTATGATTTTCATCTGTTAAATTTTTAACAATACTGATTATTATTATGATTAATATAAAATTTTCTATTACATTTTCTTTTTTTTTTTTTTTCTTTTACTAAATTTCTTTTACTAAATTTTCGTTTTATTATTAAAATTCTTTTAATTTCTTCCTTGCATATCAACAATTATTTTTCATTTGACATAATTTCATGACTGATCATGTCTCTGAATAATTTTTTTTTTTTTTTTTTCAATTATGAATAAATGGCTGTGAATATTTATCAGTTTCATTTTCAATTATTAATGGCGTTACACGTTTTCTCTAACCTGATTAGTGGAATTTATAATTATTAAGAATTTTAATAAGTATTTTATATGAACATCCTCCATATTCTGCATCGAGTAGTCTTGTTATTTCATAACTAGAAACCTTAAAGAATTTTCATGATGGTTTTACTCATTATTAAGTTAAATACCTCCATGTTTATTATAAACCTTTCAGGTATTAATCAAAACATATTTCTGAGGTATAAAACCTGATTTTGTTTGCCCTGCTTGAATTCATAAAGAAAATTATAATGAAACCCAACAAACATGGACAATCAACACTAACATTATCGAAGAACATAAAATTATTTTCCAACTTAAATCATTTCCCATAAACTTCGATATCAAATAACATTTCGAGTAATTCAAACATTTTTCACACTTTACTCTAATTATCCAGGATCTTCCAGAATTATCCAAAGGGAATTTAATTACTTTTAAAGGATCACCTACTTATCATTACTTTTATTCCTGACTTGTCGAAGCATTTTAAACAAATCCTTAATTTAACTTTTCGATATGGAATCATTAGACAAATAAACAATTTTTTTTTTTTTTTGTATTTAAAAATTAATTTTATTTACTATTAAATAATAAATAAAATTAAAACGCATTGCATTATAACAAAACAAATTTTTTTTTTTCAATCAGTCTATCATATCTCACATTTATAATTAAAGCATTTTTCTTTTCTTTTCTTCTTCTTTCTTAAATCGACTAATTTTACTTTTTTTTTTTTTTTTTTACAATTTCACAGTTAAAAAAAATTAACTCGTAGTATTAATTGTTTAAATAAAAAATTGTAACTCTGTATTAATTTTTATTAAGACACATAATTATTATTTTAATAAGGACGATTATTATTTGAATAATAATGATTCGGAGGAAGCTGTTGTTGTTGCTGTTGCTGCTGTATCTGCTGTTGTTGTAGTGGGGCTCCAGGCGGGGGTTGATTGATTATGTGAGACGGTGGAGGCGGGGGTGGAGGACACATTCCAATTCCTAATATTTGATGTTGAGCCATCGAATCGTACAATTGAGGTTTGCTCGAATAATGACTAAAAGTTGGCCTCTCCCTTTGAAAAAAAAAAAAAACCCAAATATTAATTTTTTTATTGGGGGAGAAGGAGGGAGGAGGGACGAGGGGGGAAGGAAAATTTTGAACTTTGAACCTGTTTCTTTCTCTTCTGTTGTAACCGCGATTCCTCTCATCTCTACCATCACGATCCCCATCCTGTCGACAATCTCTAGTCTCATCGAAACCTGAAACTTTTAAAATTTAAAGCCAAATAATTACCACCACCCAAAATCGGGGAGAGGGGGGGGGGAAGGGGAAAAGACAAAATTTTTTTTTTACTCACACTGTCTTTGCTTATTATTCGGTTTATCTCCGTCTCGTTGAACGTTTCCAGCATCCGATATCTGAAAATTCGGTCCATTACCTGTCACAACATTCAAAATAAAAAAATTTATTAATTTTATCGAGACGATTCGCGGTGCTGAAAAGAGAAAGAGAAAGAGAGAGAGAGAGAGAAAGAGAAAAAAAATTTATTTATTTATTTATTTATGTTGTTCAGACAGACAAGGTTCCATTTTTTTTTTGATAACGCAGCAGCAGCAGTAGTAGCAGCAGCAGGAGCAGCTTTTTTTCTTCGATTGAATTGTTTGGCTAAATTAAAAATTTATTATAAACTTTCATCTCATACCATCGAAGATCATTCCTTCCATCATTAACTGTAAAAATGTTTTTTTTTTTTTTTAATTAAAGGTGACCGACCAGTCAAAGGCATCATCATCATCATCATCATCATCATCACCGTCGCCATCTTTCTCATCATCATCATCATCATCATCGGGGTTATCACACAAATGAACTGTTATCACGCTCTCGATGTCTCGACCGCATAACACGTAAGTACAAAACACATATTTAACTCATAAGAGAAAAATTTTTTAAATATTAAAAACAAAATGTCGGCGTTAAGTGATGACGTAAGCATTGAAATAATCCACCCACTCGCATTACCCTTTATTTTCAATGGTAACTCAAATCCATCTGGGGGATGAGGGATGTAGGGGGGGGGGAACGAGAAAAAAACGGTTGATTGATTGATTGATTGGCGATATAAAATATTTTTAAAAATGAATTTTCGTCGCATTGCAACAAATTTTCTTCTTCTCTTCTCTTCTCCCGACTCGTTTTTTTTTTTTTTTTCAACATTTACTCCATCAACAATTATTTCCATGAAGACCTAAAATTTTCATGCCAAAAAAAAAACAACTTTTTGTAAAAAAAAAAAAAAAAAAATGAAATTAAAAAAGAAAAAAAATAATAATAAATAAATAATAATAATAATTAATTACAAAAAAAAAAGAAAGGGAAAAAAATAATAATAATAATAAAACCAAAAACATCGAAAAAACGCCAAGAAGAAGAAGAAGAAGGTCCATCATCATCATCATCATCATCATCACCATCGTTATCATCATCATCATCTCTATTAAGCTTTCTTTTTTTTTTATCAATATTTATATATATGAAATTTTTTTTTTTTTTTTTTTTTTGTGTGTGTGTTATTACCAACCTGTTGATGTCGGTAGGGGTGGAACTACCACTGAAGTCTCATCCATTTTAATTGAGGGATCTTTCTGTAAACCCTCAGGTTGTTGAAGATGTTGCCTCCTCTGATGCTGGTTCATTATCATCAATTCTTGTACACTGCAGGAAAGCAAAATACATTAAGATGACAAATACACATCTTTTACAATCACATTTTCTTTTCTTTTCTTTTCTTTTCTTTCCAATAAAAATATAGAAAGGAGAAAAGAGAGAGAGAGAGAGAGAGAGAGAGAGAAAAAAAACAATTTTTTTTTCATGTTTGCCTGTTGGAGGGAAAATTCATATTAAAATTAATCATGGGGGGAAAATTCATATTAAAATTAGGGGGGGGGGGAATTTGAATGTTTTTTTTGCCAGCTTCTTCTTCTTCTTCTTCTTCTTTACCTCAACATGATCTTCTTCTTCTTCTCGATGAAAGGTAATTTTTTTTTTTTTTTTTTTTATGTTCACCTTATCATCTGAATACAAACCTCCTATTTTTCATGCGAGGTCGTTCGTCCTTTTACTACCTTAAGTACAATCGAATTATTTTCCCTTTAAAAAAAAACAAATCAAAAAAAGTTTTTTTTTTTTTTTTTTTTTTTTTAAACGTTCAATTCGAATAATGAGACAAAATAAAAAAAAAAATAAATAAATTTTTTAGCATCGTTTTTCCCGACCCCCCCCCCCCAAAAAAAAAAAAAAAATAATAATAATAATGACAATAAAATATATAAAATTTGATATAAATAAATTATTGTAAAGGTTAGGTAAAGTTTGGATTTCGGTAAACATAATCGTTTCATCTTTAAAAAAAAAAAAAAAAAAAAAAAATTAAAAAATCGATTTTGATGGGGAGGGGAGGGGGGGCAATCTCAAATGAGAAAATGATGCTAACCGTTATTTAATTTTAACACATTTAAAAAAAAAAAAAAAACAAAAATGACGAAATCCTGAAAATAAAAAATTCACATGAATAATTATTATTATTATTTTTTACGTTAAAAAAAAAAAAAAAAATTCGTAATCTCAAACATTATTATTATTATTATTATTATTATTTCGGTTTTTTTTTTTTATAATATTAATTTTACCATTGATTAATTCCTCTGCGTGTCGGGAAAATCCAAAGTTACCATGTCGGCCTATTCATCAATTCCAATCCTTATTTTTACTCAATCAGTCGCATAATTAAATTACTTTTATGCAATATCATTTACCCGAGTATGACTGTTTTTTTTTTTTCTTTGCGTAAGGATACCGTTTGCGATCAGGATAATAGAATCCGTTAAAAATATTTTAAAAGGGGAAAAAAAAAAAAAAAAAAAAAAACAATAGAGTTATTTAACAAATAAAATAATACAGATAAAAAATTATTCGTAGCCATTTTTCTCTCTTTTCGTAGAAACGCCGTTTAAATAGCATTACAATTAAAAAAAAAATGAAAAAAAAAGATTAATTTCAAGTTAGAATTAGAAAGGAAAAGTTTTTTTTTTTTTTTTAAACTTACCCTACACCCTGCCTTCCCGAATTGTTATTCGTTACCGGTTGCGTGGGCGGCGGTACGGGTTGCGGAGGCTGCATCGGAATTGACATTAACGATTGAGGTTGAGTTGACCCCCCCTGATTATTTCAAAATAAATTAACGTATTTTTGTATGACGTAATTTAAAATTTCCATTAGTGAAAAACTTGTAAAAGTACCTGTTGAGTGGTCGGAGTTATTTCTTCCGTGAACTTCCGCTTGGGAGGTTTAGGTTCCGGATGATCCGAGTTTTGATTGAAACGAGAAGGGGGCAAATGATGTGCGGGCGGAATAAATTGTCCCGAGGATGTGGGAAGGATTTGTATTGGTCCCGGAGGGCATCCCGGCACGAATTGTAATTGTTGCGGTTGGCAAACTTGTATTTGTTTCATGACTATTTGCTGTTGATACTGTCCGTAATTTTGCTGTTGAACTTGAAATTGAGGTTGTTGAACTTCGTTCGTCGGTCTCACCCCTTGAATTTGCATCAATTGCGGTTGACAGGGTAAGAAATTAGCCGTCGACACGGGTATGGTTTGTATGTTTTGATTTTGCAACGAGACCGGTTGATTGTTTGCCATCATTTGCTGATTGGGAATTTGCTGTAGAAGCATTTGATTTTGATGAGAGGGCTGTATGGAAAATGCCGGATTCGTTGGATTAGTAGTAGGAGGAGGAGGAGGAGGAGGAAGAGGAGCTTGAATATTGGGTGAATGCCTTTGATTGGATGGAGGATTTTGTACGGAAGATGATTGATTGGGAATCGATGGCGGAGGTTGAGAAACGTTTGTCGTAGATTGAGACGATGATTGATTTTGAACGGGAGATTGTCCGGACGGAGCATTCGGTACGCTGTTTGAACTTATTTGGGGTTGTTGTGAAACGGGTTGCTGTTGAGTTTGAATTTGAATGTGAGACGGTTGATTTTGAACTGAATTTTGAACCGCTGAATATGCCAGGGTCGGAGGAGGGTTTTGTTGAACATACTGTAAGAAAATTAAATATTAATTGATTATAAAATAACAACAAGAAAGGGGAAAAAACGATGCGAAATTGTTTATACGTACCTGAAATTGATACGAAACGGGAACCGATACAGCTGCCTGAAGTTGCTGACCTGAATTTTGAGTTTGAAAAGCCAAATGTTGGCCAGATTGAAAAACAGGTTGCGGTTGACCAACGGGAGGTGGTTGAGATAAGAAGACTTGCTTCAATTATAAAAAAAAAAAGACGATAAATATTTAAAAATTTATAAAAAATAAGAATTTTTCTCGAGGCTTACTTGTTGAGTATATGTAGGTTGGGTTTGTTGATTTATAACAACCAATCCTTGAGAAGTCATAATTCCTTGCATTGGTTGTCCATTTTGAGTGATGACATATTGCTGTTGGCAGTTGTTGATTTGTTGGGTCGGCTGAAATGGTTGAGCTATTTGTTGAATAAAATTACCGGGTTGATCGTGTTGGGACTGAATCTGAAGATGCTGAGATGGAGTTGGGGGAACCATTGGGCCTTGTTGCGGAGGAATATGAACTCCCGGAGGAGGTAGTGCCACTTGTGCTGGAGGCGGTTGTGAAAAATGAGGTGGTGGAACGCCCACCATTGGAGGAGGTGCCGTCAATTGAGTAACCGTTGGCTGTTGAATAAATCCTGTTTGAACCACAGGTAGAGCAATCGACGTCGACATTACATTTGGTATTGGTTGTTGTATTATTGGATGATCTCCGTTACCTCCTTGATGTAATATTATATTGGGAGGAGGTTCAACGCTGATCTGTTGAATTTGGGCTTAAAATCATAACAATTATTTAGAGATTTACTTAAACAAAAAAAAACAATATTTTTCATAATAAATTATTAAAACTAACCAGAAATATTTTGGGGAGGTGGCTGCTGCATTTGAAATTGGGCATATTCCTGTTGAACTGTAGCTATTAAATTTAAAGCTAAATCTCTAGCCGTGGCCATTACCTCCGGTTTATGATGCCTAAGGAATTACCCAAAAGTCAAATTAATTATGCCTACTTATTTTTCTTTAAATTAATAAACTCTCGTTAGACGTGCAACTTACGTTATGCAAAAGTGAAGAGGCTCTGGAGCCTCTTGTTGAGTTCCAGGCTCCATAAAAGCAGATCCTATTCCTCTTAATGTAACAATGGCACCAGTTTCATTTTTTATATAATTTAAATTTGAACCTCCTTGTCCAATCAATTTCATTGGAAGATTGAAACCGGGTAAAATATTATCCATTCCGATTCTGATTTTTTCAATCTTACAAAAAGAAAAAAAAAAAAAGCTCATAATTTTGTTTTTACTTTTTTTTTTTTTTTTTTTTTAATAAAATCATAAATCAAATCTCACCAATTTTCCAGAAGTTTGTTCTATAATGGGAGGTGGTAGGTGAATATTTCTGTTTACCAAAACAGGTGGTAAATTTCCTCCGACTGGTGCTCTAGGTACCATATTTATAGATCCAGGAACAGGTCCAATTGTAGAAATTCCTCCATTTCCACATTGACGCTGATTTCCGATATCCCCATTGGAAGAAATCATTTCCTCAATTTTTTGTATAGCCACTGTAAATAAATTTAAACATGGTAAAATTAAATTTTAATCAATTTGAAAATTATTGATTAATTAAAGTACACTTAATAAAATAATGATGATACTTTAATAATTGTAAATTTGGGGTTATTCATCACTTTCGATTTCAACTTACAATCGACCGATCTATTTGTGGGTCCTTGAATAAACAAATATAATCCTAAATTTTTAGCCGATTTATCTTGAGTGTTGAGATTTTTTCTTTCATTTTCCGGAATGTATCTGCCTTTGGTAGAGACACAAGCTCCAGAAAAATCTTTTATCATTTCCTGTGTGCTACCTTTACATAATAAATTTCTTACCGATTGAGGCACATGATTTATTGAAAATTCAGCTTGAATTAATTTAAGAACATCAGATTTACTCAATCCTTCCGATAGCTATAAAATTACATTTTAATAAATATATATTTATGGAAACTATATTCGTTTAAAATAATTTAATTATAAAAAAATCTCTTTACAAACATTTTTTGTTAATTTTCCCTTTGCATGAAGACTTGCATCTAGTTTGTTTGCAGCTGCCACTGCTGCTTCCAAACCACTTTTTTGACTATACATTTTTAACCGGAGTGAAAATAAAACTGAAGACAAATTTTAAATAAAATAAATTTTTGAAATGAATTATAAAATTCAAATTTTTTGGGGATATTAAAATAAATTATAGCATAGATTTTCAAGTGTGTGAGTGTTACATAAAATATCGAAACAATTAAAAAATAAATAGTTTTAATAGTAATATAGATGAATAAAAAATATTTATTTTCAATATAATAGAATTCGGGGATCGTTGTCAGAAAAAAAAAAGTACTTACAATTAAAACTAATTTGATCTTTTTTTTTTTTTTTTTTTTTTTTTGCTTTAGCTAGTTATCATTTGAGATATAGTTTGTTTCCACTACATATTTTCGAATAATAAGTTTTAAATTAAATTTTATATAAAATTTTTGAACTTATAAAAAAGATAAATGTCACTGAAAACTATCATTCTTTTCTTTACGAGAACACCATGATCAATCCAATATCCAAAAACACTTTATAAATATAAAAATTTTTAATTTCCGGTTTCATCTTAGAAAACCTTAATCATTAAATATATATATATATATATTTCTCTGCGCGTACCCTTGAGTTAATTTTTTAAATGTTGGCAATAATGATTTTATAAAAGTACTGTTGAGCTTATGGAATTTTCACCCAATGATCAACCCATTAACTTAATATTAAAAAAAAAAAAAATAAAATTTTTTTTTGATATTTAAATTTGATTTTTTAAGATTAAATAAATAAAAATACTTAATTGATAATATGAATAAATAATTTATTTAAAGTATAATACAAAAAGCTTTAACAAAAATAATGATAATAATTAACAATATTGTTGTTGCCATAAAAATTTATTTGTTACTCATTATGATTAAAGTATAATATACTAAATTTAAATATATATATATATATTTTTATAAAAAGCATAAGCTAGAATTATAATAATTAATAATTAAACAACATAAAATACAAATAAAGCTCTGGGAATAAATGAATATAATTTTTCTTCTTTTTTTAATGGTGTACAACTACTTAAGCAAATATATCGAATAAATATATAAATTGATTAAAAAATACTGAAAATTATCGTTAGGAATTTCATCATTACTGTATTTTCAAAGGGTTGAAAATGTAAACTGTAATTTTTATCAGTTCCATTTCCATTTAAAAGTGATAAATGCTAAATTCAATAAAACATATCTATAAAAAGTATAATGATCTTTTGCTTTCGTCTCTGTGTAAAAATTTACTCATTTTTTTCTTAAGATGTTGGATCTTCAGGAGGAAATGGAACAAATTTGTGATCTTCCATATTAAAAAATTCATGACCTTGTTTGAAACAACCATCACAGTATAAATTTCCTTCGCAACCGAAACATTTTACAGTGGCATTTTCATTACAGATGATACACCATGGAAATTCTGGTTCTTCTTCACTACGATTGCCATCCGATATATCTAAATCCTCACTATCGCTTTCCGTCGTGGACTGTAATCTTTTTTCCAACTTTCCTTCTTCGATTGCTTTTTCAATTATTTTTGCAGTTATAGAATCACCATCATCTGGTTCATGATTAGGGGAATGTGCTGTTGATGTATTTTCCGATGTATTAAGCTTTTTTAATCTGGATTCAATTTCACTGAACTCTTTATTACCCCTCGTTTCCAAATCGGCATCCAAACCTGCTTCATCCATGTACTTTTTTAATAAATCATTCACTTGTTCTTCTTCGGTTTTCGATGAACCACCAGTAGCCGATTGAGGTTTTTGATCTTCAATTGATTCTTCGCTTTTATCCTGTAATAAAGCCAAGCGTCTTTTAATTTCACTTTCATCTGGTAGAACGGGGGGCGTTCTTTCTGCTCTTAGTTTTTCCAAACGTTCAAGTATTTCTTTGTCTTGTGAGCTTAAGCCAGATCTCAAATTCATTAATCTATTGCTGTGGCGAAATATTGTTATGGGAGGTTTGCTCGGATTTTCTAATTTTTCAAGGCGCTTTAACAACAAATCTGGGGTTTCAGCTTCGGTTGATGCCATTTGATCGGGACTTTTGTTTAATTTTTTGTAACAGTTTTGACACACGTTTTTATGTTTTTCGTCTATAATAACTTTTTCCTTAAGGCACTTATAGCAATAAGAAAATCCACAATTTGGACATGAATGTTCTCTAGTAAAAAAGGAAAACTTTGTTAAGCATCCATAACAGGACATTATTAACAAATCAATAACAAAAATTAAAAAAAAAATAAAAAATAAAAATTATGAATCTTTTATATCGACACAAGAAAAAAAAAAACAATAACAAAAATTAAAAACAATAAATACAACTAAAACATTCTCGTAATATACAACAAGTGCTACCAACATAAATGATGCAATATCGAATAAATTTTCATAGGTTATTTAAACAACAAACGGTATAAATTACGTCATATTTGTGTAACCAATATCAACGGCATGAAGAAGCACTCGATTTGAATTAATAAAAAACTCAAATTAATTATTTATCGATTAAGTTATTTTAAATAATTTAAAACATTATTACTTTAAAATTTTTAATTATTTTTTTTTTTTTTAGAAAATTTTAAAAATACTTTTTTATCTGCTTGAAATTTTTCGTGTCAATTGTCATCAAAGCACCACCGGGGTCTTCAAATTTTGGTTATTGGGTATAGTTTTTAATTATTTAAACTTTTAATTTAAAAAAAAAAACAAAAATATTTTGTCAAAATAATTGTAGTTAACTATTTTAATAACGACGTATTACTTTTATTTTTTTTTACAGATTATTTTGGCTATGAAAAACATTTAAATACGGAATTATTTAGTTTCTAGTCGAGCAAATTTCTGAATCAATTAAATGAATTTTGTTTTTAAAAATTTATTTAAATGTAGGTTAGTTTTAAAATATAAAAAAACATTTCCAAAATTCATCACATTCTATTCTTCTGATAAACCATTTACGATAATAGTCGAAGGAAATGTCGGGTGTGGGAAAACGACTTTTTTAAATAATTTTCAAAGGAATTCAAATTTTTTAACTTTATACGAACCGATTGAGGAATGGAAAAATGTTAAGGGTATTGATTTAATGAATTTATTTTATAACGATTTAAAAACATGGAGTTTCTCTTTTCAAACTTATGTTTTTTTAACAATGATGAAAATACATGAGAAAAAAACAAACAAACCATTTAAAATAATGGAAAGATCAATTTATAGCGGAAGATATGTTTTTATTGAGAATTTATATAAATTAAATTTAATTACTCAACCTGAATTGGCAGTGTTAGACGAGTGGTTTCAGTGGTTAGTTAGTACAAATTGTGCTAAAGTCGATTTAATAGTGTATTTGAGAACTAATCCCGAAGTTGCTTACGAAAGGATTTTAAAACGTGGGAGAGCAGGCGAAACTTTACCATTTGAATATGTAACAAAAATTCATGAGCTTTATGAGAATTGGCTAATTAAAAAAAAAAATAATTCATTTTGTCATGCGCCAGTGTGGTGTATTGATGCAAATCAAGATTTACAAACTATTAAAAATGATTTTGACTATTTCGAATATCAAGCCATGCAGCATATTTAAGGCAGGCAGACAGCAATAAAAAAAAAAAATTATCTCATTTCGAAAAGCTTTTATATTATACCAATGAGGAAAAATAACTTACAGTGGATAAGCAAAAACTTTTTTTTATATTTCTGTTATTATTGAGCCAGATTTTTCATATTAAAATATATTTATTCGCTTTGGTATTGATTTTTTAAATATGTTTTATCTTTTTACAATCCATCCGAATATTCGAAAATGGGAGTAAGTTTTATTAAAATTGATTTTATCGTTTTATTTTTATTGAATTTTTTTGTCTTGCCCAGTGACCTAATTATATTTCAATATTAATAATCTTTGACTTCAATGCAGTAAAGTTTAAAAGTAGATAAATAAAATCAAAGCTTGAAACTTGCAGCTGTGAAAATTTTTTAAGAAAAAAAGCTTTCAAAACATTTTATTTCATATAAATGCTTTATAATTTTTTTTTTTTCTTTTAAATATAATACAAATTACGCAAGATTGTGAAAAAGGATCAATGCTGCATCGTGCTCTGTTTAAAAAAAAAAAAAAAATAATACCATAATATTCCTTAAATATGTTTTTTTGTTGAACCAGAGAGTTAAATTGCTATGACACAATTAAAATAGACTGACTGTTTACAATTCTGTAAATTTTAGGCGCATGATCTTTTTACTTACTTTTTTAATTCGAAAAAAATGTCGAAATCAATGAAAAATGGTATGGAAAAAAAAATAAAAATCATTTCATTACAATTTTTATAAATATTTTATTGATTTTATTATTCATAAATGATAGAGAACACTATAAATGCATACAAAATAATTAATAATTCTAATTTACACTAAAATAATTTTCATGGCCGCCTTTTCCAAAAAAAAAATAAACTTTTCTTCATGTGTCTTAGGCGTCGTATAATCAAATTAATAATATGGTCTTCTTGGATTATTCTGAAATTAAATATAACGTACATTTACAAAATGCAAAACTTTTTATTATGAAAATCTTTTCTGTGGAAAATTTGAATGTATTTTTTTTCTTTTCCTACCAATGGATTCGGTCTAAATCTGTAAGCCAACATCATTCTTTTCCTATAAGCATCATATTCATCATCTCCAGGTTCTAAACCGTCGTGCCTTTCAACACCTAAACCTTGATTTTCGTGACGAGTAACGGCTCTGGAAAAAAAAAAAAAAAAAAAAAAATCACAAATATGAAATTATACTTCTATTTACTATGTGTACTTGTTTAAAAATGGCGGGAAGGGGAAAACCTACTTGTTGACAGGAAGAGTGATACCTGAGCCATTTTGACCCAGTCCCTGTCCTTCGTTCCATCCCATTTTTTGCAATAATTTATAACCGACATTGTCTTCTTTTAATTTAAATTCTTTATAATCTGACAAATCAGGTTCTCTTCCTTCTTTTACCGCATTATACTGCGTACAAATAACAATAATAATAATAATAATAATCATAAGTTTTACTGATGTTTGATGATTCTTCTTCTTCTTCTTTGGGTTAAACCATTACTCACTCTTTCCATGAATCGTTCCAATTCTTCGGGAGGTAAAAAATCTCCAATGTGATGTTTACCCGCGGCTTGCCTCGTCAATTCTTCCGCCCATAATTGAGTTGCCATCATTTCCTGTTGTCGCAATTTGTGTTCCCAAGTACCTCCTTCCACGTCTTCATCCGAATCGTATTCGTATTTGAATTTACCAGCTTTTTCAAGCTTATCGATTTCAGCTCTTTTTTTCACCAAGTCTTGATAAAGCAAATTTATCTGAACGAAATCGAATTATCAATTTATCAATTTTATTATTATTACTTAATAATAAGTGACGAGATTGTAATACCGACTTTGTAATGATCTTCTGCTTTTTTCCAATCTTCTTCGGACAAATTAGTCGAACCGAATGTTTGTCTAGCATATTGTAGTAAACCCGGATCAGATCTCGTCAACTGACTAAGAAGATTCGTTTTTGGCGTTGGCAATTCTAAAACAATGAGAGAATTAATATTTTCAATTATGTAAGTAAAATTATTAATAATAAATTTTTGTTAAACGGGACAAAAATGTTCTTACTACTTCCAGCTTGTAGGGTTAAGTTAGTGACTACTGAGGGAGGTTGAACGGTGCCTGATGTCGTCGCTACATCTCCCCACCGACTTTTCCTTTTTCTTTTACGTTTTTCTTTGTCTGTCTTTTCCCCTTCACCATTTGATAAACTTTTAGATGTTTGCTCCGTAGGATTTTCTGCTTGATAAAAGAAAAAAATTTACTGTTAATGACATTACATTATCGAGAAACTTTTCAAAATAAAAATTGCATGTTAATTTACCATCACTTTTATGATCGTTTTTCGAAAATATTTCATAGCCTTGAGAACTCGATTCGGGAATTTTATAATGTGTCATTTCATCCGTGTTTAATGAACAATCTTCAAAATTTTGACCTTCCATCGTCTTACCTTTTTCTCTATTATTATCAAAACCAAAAGGTTCATCATCGCTTAAATCTAAAAATTTAATAAAAGTTTAAACGGTTAATGTTTAAATTTCACCAATTTTTTTTTTTTTTAATTTAAAAATTTATCTAAAATTTCAAACCTTGAATTTGATTGAGTTCTTGTCCTTGGGGTGGTAAATTGGAATCAATTAATTTTTCCTTTCCTCCTAAATCTTGGACCCGGCAAGAATTCCCAAGTTCCTTATTAACTTCTTCTTCTTCTTCTCTTAGTTTGTGTCGATAGTTTAGTACAAGTTTTCGAAATGATAAGTACTCATTTGAACTTTTCTCGGAAAGAAATCTAAAATTAAATTGATTATTTTATGTCAAATGTTCTATCATTAGAAAAAAATTTAATAAAATACAATTTTGTCGATTACAAGTTATTTATTATTGTACATATAACTAATTAAACATAAACTTACTTAAGTGCCGGGTCATGTTTATTTCTTTCCCATAAAATTTCTTCAAAGTCATCTCCACACTTAGCCACGACCTCTGCCAATTGATTTTTGTCTTGATTCTGACCTTGCTTGTCATCTGGATTGTCCAAAGCTGGAGAAACTAGTAATTACCCAGTTAGTACGAAGTTTACAATCCTAAAGCACGTTAATAATTTGTGTCGATAGTTTTTGACAAATGGATTTTTTCTATTAAACCAAAGTATAAATAGAAGAAATCACAGACCCAAGGTACTATTTACACAATTTTTTTTTTGAAATATTTTTAAAAATTTTAATCGTGTATACCAGTATTTTTTATTTTTTTTTTTGAACCAGGTTTAATTTAATGATATGAAGTTACCCGAAAATCTAAATACTCCTCAAAATCGAAAAAAAAGTAATTGACTTAACACATTTCAAGGGTCACTTTGTACTTGCTAACTTACTCCTTGAAATTTCCTCGTAATTTGAAGTAAACTCAGTTTGAAAGCCTGTGTTAAAGTTATTTGATGTATTTTTCAAATAACTGCCCACATCTGACATTTTAGACATAAAAAATCCCATTTCTTTTGTGGATTGATTTTTATCTTTAAAAAGTTTTCGACTACCAATTTTATTTTTATCAATATCATCATCTTCATCTTCATCTTCGTCTTTTAACGGATTTGAAGCCAATTCTAATTTTTTGATTGTATTCGTTTTGAATGCCATAGAAATGGTTTCAACATGATTTTTTGTTAATTGATTTTCTTTGGCTGAAAAAAAAAAAAAAATTCATCGACATAACAACATTATTATTGAAATTTTTAAACCTTTTTAAAGAAACAAAAAAATTTTTTTTACATAAAGGTATTGATGAGGTATATGTTTCAATGTTTTCTTTTACATGAGGAGCCTCAAATTGGTTAGATAAACCTGCTGAATAAGCATTTTGAGGATTTAATTCTGCGATTCCTGGAGGAGGAATCTGAAATTGAATGTCTGACGACTTTGGTAATGCATTACCATCATTGTTTGTTGATATTTTCTGTTCTTTATGTGAAAACAAATTATATTCCCTAAACAAAAATAATTTTATTAATATCTGATAAATTAATTATAATTTTTATTTTTTGTTACATAAAATTATATTTAAACCTTGATGATTGTTGATTGATTTTATCTGATAAACCTGTTTGAGACAATTTTTTAAACTGATCCAAAAAACTACCATCGTTGGAAAATGCATTTGTAAGGCAATCTTTTTTTCGTATTTCAGGTGATTTTTCTCTTTTCTTAGTTATCTGATCGCTGGTTCTAAAAAAAAAAAAAAAAAAAAAAGTTTAATCAAAGGATAATTAACAAAAAATATATAAATAAGATTTGAAATGTAAAATTGTATATTTATTTTAATGCACAAAAAAAAAATAACAAGGAATAATGATAAACATTCAATAGAAAAAAAAAAAAAAAATTAGGTACGTGCCTTGATTGATTTCCAGAAGAAAATTTCATATTTTTTCCATCAAAATTATTTAATTTTTTAAAAGCATCTTCTGTTTCTTTTTTTTTCTGAGCTTCTAATTTCGCTTGAATTTCTTTTTTCTTTTTTTCAATTATTATTTCTTGTTCAGACAATTGTGCTAGTCTTTCAGTTCTCGAAAATCTCATTAAACTATTTTGTTTTTTATTCATTTTTAATAATATAATTAATGTTGTACTATTACAATATATCACCATAAATCACTTTCTGTCAAACCTCTTTAACTAAATACGTACGCAATAATTACATAAAACGTGTAAGCAGAAAAAATTTTTTTTGAAAATTTTTTTTTTTTTTTTTTTAAATTAACCCATAGGTATTTTTCATAATAAATAATTTATTTAATAATTATTTTAAAGATTTTGTACAAAGAAAATAATGTTTTATAAATAATACGTAAAAATAAATACGAAATAAGTAATGGTTGCCAATAAGTGTTGTAAATGTAAATATTACCTTATAACTCACGTGTTTGCAAAACTTATGAATTATTAAAAAAATATTTTTTTCAATTAAGAATTGTGGATTTTTATACAATTTTTAACACCTAATTATTTTTACATAGTAATATTTATTTCTTATGTTAATATTTCTGTAATTACTTATGCTTGGAAATTTTAATTAAATGTTATAAAATATTTTTGACATTTTTAATTAAAAAATAATACTTTGGAAAAATTTGTTATTCTATAATTATTAAATTTTTCCAATAAGTAGAAAATTACATTTTAATTGTAAAATTTTTTCATCAAATATTACCATTTTAGTTATTTGTAAAATGAGAATGTTTTCTAATTAAGAGTTTTTTTTTTTTTTACATATTTTCAGAAGAAACCTATTGTAATTAATAAAAAGGTTTATAATTATAAACATATGTTCGAGTTGAACTCGCAAAATGGCTACCGACTTAACTGAAAAAATATTAAAAATAATCGATTCCAAAAATGAAATTGACACATATGATCTTGCTGGTGAATTAAATGAAGATCATCAGAAAATCATTGGTACAGTTAAAAGTTTGCAAGCTTTGGGAAATCTTGTAAAAGGTAAGTTTATTTTCATTTAATATTTATTTAAATTGTAAGATTTACAATTCAAAATAAAATTTTTTGTTTTAGGAGAGCCAAAAGTTCATTCTTACTGGGAGTTAACTAAAGAGGGACAATCGGTTGTTGAAAATGGAAGTCATGAAGCTTTGATATTTAATGCAGTTCCCCCTGATACTGGTATTGAACAAAGTAAAATAATGGCAACAGTTCCGAATGCAAAAGTTGGTTTTAGTAAAGCCATGTCACAAGGTTGGGTTTTTATCGATAAGAGTAGTGGTGTGCCAGTAGTAAAAAGAAAAGTTGATGATATATCTGATGTTGTTCGACAGCATCTTAAACTAATACTAAACAAAGATGGAAATTCAGTTCCTGATAATGTAAAACAAGATTATAAAAAAAGAAAATTAATTCAAGAAGTTGTAATAAAAAGCATATTGTTGAGTAAAGGATCTGAATTTCAATTGTCTGTGGAAAAGCAAGAAACCGATTTAACCGCTGAGCTATTACTTAATGACGCTTGGAAAAATAAAACGTTTAAAGATTATAATTTTAATTCGTTGGGAGTTTTACCCAATTCCGGACATTTACATCCGTTGATGAAAGTTAGAGCTGAATTCAGGAAAATTTTTATTGAAATGGGATTTCAAGAGGTAAGATATCAACATTTTGTGCAGTAATTATTAAAATTTTAAAGATAATTATAAAATTAATTAACTTTTCTATATTTTCAGATGCCTACAAATAATTTTGTCGAAAGTTCATTTTGGAATTTCGATGCCCTTTTCCAGCCACAACAACATCCGGCTCGTGATGCTCATGATACATTTTTTTTATCTTTTCCTGCCACAAGTTCAAATTTCCCAACAGACTATTTGGAAAGAGTGAAAAAAGTACACAGCAGTGGTGGATATGGGTAAGATTTTTTTTTATTTTCCATAAAAAAGACAAGTATGAATATAATATTTTCAAAAAATAATTTTAGGTCTCAGGGGTACCAATACGACTGGAAAATAGAAGAAGCACAGAAAAATCTGCTTAGAACGCATACAACTGCAGTTAGTGCAAGAATGCTTTACAAATTGGCACGAGAAAAAGAATTTAAACCTGTTAAATATTTTAGCATAGACAGAGTTTTCAGAAACGAAACATTAGACAGCACTCATTTAGCAGAATTTCATCAAGTAATTTTTTTACAAAAAATAATTGTCGAAAAATAAGTCGAACCTCTTGTTGTTGTTAAATTTACATTTGCTATTGTGATTTTCAGGTTGAAGGATTAATAGCTGATTACAATTTAAGTTTAGGTGACTTAATCGGAGTGCTTTATGCTTTTTTCCAAAAGTTAGGAATTGAAAAACTTAAATTTAAACCCGCGTATAATCCATACACGGAGCCCAGCATGGAAATATTTAGCTATCATCCAGGACTCAAAAAATGGATAGAAGTAATGTTTATATAATTTAAAAAAAAATTTTTTTTGCGATTGAATTATTGTTCGATATAATGAGAAAAAATTTATATAATTTCAGATAGGAAATTCCGGCATGTTTAGACCAGAAATGTTATTGCCCATGGGTTTACCAGAAGACGTTAACGTAATTGCTTGGGGCCTGAGTTTAGAAAGGCCTACAATGATAAAATATGGTTTGAATAACATAAGAGATCTTGTAGGTCCAAAAGTTGATATATGCATGGTTCAATCAAGTCCGATTTGTAGATTAGATAAATAAAATATATTATTTTATTTATTTATGTAATTTTGATACGTTTATTTTCACAATTTCACACACAAAAAAAATTTTTTTTAATAAAATGATTAAGTTTTTATAAATACAGTAAAAAATTCAAGGACATAAATAAAAGTAATAATATATATATTTTATTAAAGAGATTAAAAAAAAAAAATAATAAAAATTCGTTTGATTATCTATTATGTATTATCAAGTAAAAAAAAAAAAAAATAATGTCAAGAACTTGAGAAAAAGGTAATAGGTAAGTATATAATAATTTTTTATAAAACATTTGGCGGTAGCGCATTAAAAATGAAAAATGAGCATGCGCAAATGGAATATCGAGGTTAACACTTTACCTACGAACACATTTTTATTCTGTGGTTCTAATGACAACTGATTGACAAGTTTGCTAGTAAACAAAATGCAGTATCCAGTGAATACGTGTCAATCGTTTTTCGTGTATGAAATTAGTGATTAGTAAATATAAAAAGAACTTTGCGGGAAAAAAAAATAAAAATTTTTACGGTAAGTTGTTATTATTATTTTAAATTAAAATTAAAAAAATTTCCATAAAGTTATTATAAAAAAAAAAAAAAAAAATATTACATCGTTTAAATCTCAACACAATATCAAACATAAAAAAAAAGTTTATTTATAAAAAAAAAAAAAAATTATTTGTTTTGATTTTGTAATGTGTGTCAACGGGTATATTATCATGATAAGTTTTATTTTTAATTACGTGAGAGTTTTATTTTTTATTTTTAATTAAAATTAAAAAAAAAAAAACACCTGGAAATTAAATGAAAAGATATTTTTTTTATTAATTGTGCAACCCCGTCCACGTCAGAATGTGTGGTCGTGACTTTCAAACTATTTATTTATTTTTTTTTTTTTTGTAAATAAATTACACACATTTTTATTGAAAACCTTTTTAGTCGTTACAAATTGACGTGCCTTTTTTTTTTTTTTTTCTGTCTGTGTGTGTCTGCCCTAATTACACGTTTTTGAATTTCTGTTGCTTCCTGTTTGGCGGGTTTTTTTCGCAAACTAAATCTTGCATTTTTATCAGCTAACTCATGGAAATTGTGTTGAATTTTTTTTTTTTTTCTAATTTTAATTTTAATTTTATTAATGTGATTTTTATTACTTTTTATTGATATTTATATTTTATTTTTCACTCGTTTAATATTTGTTTTATTTTAAGTTTTATTTTTTTGAAATTTTATTTTTTATTTTTTATAATTAACTTTAATTACTTTAAGTTAAAAAAAAAAAATTTTTTTGAAGTGAATTTTTTAAGGTTACAATTTTTAGGTACGGATTTGGAACAAAGTAAGTTTTTTTATTTTTTAATCATTATTTAACTAAACTTTAACTTGTTTAACTTAATAACAATTTCATTTAGTTAAAATTTGGTAAAACATATGTAAGGTCTACCTTTTTTTTCTTCTGACAAAATGTGACACTTAAATGAATTAGTAAAATTTATGACTAATTGTTGGGGGGGGGGAAAGAAATTTTTTTTTTCTTTTTTGTTTGCTTGATTATTATTATTATTAATAACTAAATCAAATTCAACATTTAAATATTTATTTAGCAACTTATCGAAAACTTTTTACATTGACAAAAAATTTTTTATAATTTATTGAGTCTCGGTTATTTATTTGATCTTCGATTATTTTAAGGTTTGTGTTTTAATTTTTTTTTTTTTATCAAAAACTTTTTTTTATCTTTTATAATAATAATTACATTTCATTGTTTGATTCAAATTATAAATTTACATTTTGTTACCTAATATTTTCAAGTTACATAATCTGTCACTTTTTGGCCAAATGTTTTTATGTTAGCAATTCGAGAATAACAATTTTGTAATTAATTATTTTCATCAATCGACATCCAACAATATTAACATTATTAATATTTACAAATTTGTCATATCCATTTAAATCAAATAATAATGATTAATATTAATATCTTTTGATAATTTGTTTAATTTAATTTCTATTCGAACAAGTTTATTCGATTTGAATAAACTTATTAAATATTTACACTAAAATTAATATGTTCGATTGTCAACCCTCCTTCAAATCATTGTTATTTACTAAAAACATATATATTGTAGTTATACATAATAATAATTGATGATGAGATACAATTGATGAGAGATATTGAAACATCCATTGATGCATTTTTCAAGTTAGAATGTTCTGACACTCGTAAAATGTTTCCTCGACATTTCTTAAATGGTATTAAAATATTTTTTTTTTTTGAGTAATACAAATTGTTTATGCAATTTATTGATTTCCACCGAATAAAACAATTTGTGTGACTTTCAATTAGTTATTAACATTTTAACTTATTTTTTTGCTTGTTAATTCTTCATTATTAGCCATTATTTCGATAAAAAAAAAAAAAATGGATCCTCGAACATGACATTAATAAAATATTAATAAAAATGTAAATGCATCGAGTGAATGTTTAGTTTTTAATTATTTAATGTCACAATTGTAACAATTTCAATGACAGGATAATTCATTTAATTTATTATTTAAATTTAATATTATATAAAAACAAAAAAAAGTAGCAAAATCTAATTGTATTCTATGACTTGTAAAAAAAAAAATGTTTTAAATTTCATGTGTCGCCATTATTATTATTATTATTATTATTATTATTAACTGATCATTTTACTTTCATTTTTCTTCCTGGTGTTTTATTTTTACTATTATTTTTAATACGTTAAAAAAAAAAAAAAAGAAAAAAATTCATAACATTTGAAATGTAATAATATAAAGTTCAAATTCATTGTGAAAGTGTCAGGTCTTTTGTCTTTATTAAACGGGGGGGGGAGGGGAAGTACATCGAACCTTATTTTTTTAATGTCAATAATGGAAATATAATGGGGGAAGGAAGGAAGGGAGGGAAGGGGGAGAAAGAAACCGCGAAAGGTTTTATATTAAACAAAAAAGTTTTTTTAAAATCATCATCATCATTATTATTATTATTATTGTCAGAGTTTATATCTGTATTCTTTTTTTTGTGTGTGTGTGTGTGTGTGTATTTAAATTTTGATGCCGTTATCATTTAATTAATAACTGATAAGTATTTCATATTTACTACGAATGATAAAAATCGTTTTGGTAATGGTTGATACGATAAATAATTTCATTTTTGAAATTTTACCGTTAAAAAAGAAGAGAATTTTTTTTAAAAGGTTTCTGAACGTACTCCTCCTGTATGTCCTGACGTACTTGTTCGGAAAACATTGCAAATAAATTTGCTTTCGCTTTTTGTGGCCCCCTTTTTTTTGCGATTTTTTTTGCAATTTTTTTTTAATGACGAAATAATGATAATGATACGAAGGTAATAAAATGATAAAAAAGTATATTTATTTTAAAAATAGACATTATTTCATGTCGATTTCGAACTTGGGTAGTGTGGGGGAAAGGGGGGGTTTAATTAAAGTTATAGTTTAAAAATCATAGAATAATTAATATTTACGTGAAAAAAAAATGAAAAAAAAAAAAAAAATGAAAAAATAATTCAAAGTTTCGGAATGGAAAAAATATTATTAAAAATATTGATTCATAGTCTGTTTGTCTTTCTCTCTCTCTCTCCTCTCTCTCTCTCTCTCTCTCTGCCTTTCTCTCTCTTTTTTTTTTTTTTTTTTGTCTTTAGTGACGAGTTTTAGAAAAAGTTTCATGTCGTAAAAAGGATATCCGTGACAGAATATTACCTTGACCAAGAAGAAACAAAATGTTTAGAGTTTTTTTTTTTAATATTTTTTTTTTTTTTATTGAAATACGAGAGAGTAAAGAGAAAAGAGAGAAAGAGAGAAAGAAAGGAAAGAAGAAGGGAGAAAGACAGAAAAGAAAAAAAAAATCTTTTTGCTTTGAAAGTGTATTTTATTTAAAATAAAATAAAATAAAATCGGATTAAATAACATTATTTCATGAATCAATATTTTTGTTTTCACATTATTATTATCATAATAATCACCATCATCATTATTATTATTATTATTTAATAAACTTTTACGTGTATAAACAAAAAAAAAAATCATCATTATTAGTAACGAAAATTTTACCAGAAATCTTGGAAAACTTTTTTTTTTTTTTTTTTGCTTTTAAAAAATGAGGGAAAATAATAATAATAATAATAATAATAATAATAATAATAATAATAATAATAAAAGGGCGGGTTCTCTAGGAAAAGGTTGAGTAAATGAAATAAATACAAATTTTATTTACGAACCTTTTTCTTTCCTCCTCAACCGAAACCTTTTTTATTTTTTATTTTTTGATTTTTTAAACGTTTATTATTATTATTATTATTATTATTATTATTATTATTATTATTATTATTATTATTATTATTATTATTTATATTAGAACGAATGATAATGTTTATTAATATTATATAAAATCCGATTAGTTAATTAATTAATATTTATTATAGGTCTTATTTAGATTAATAAGTAAATAAATGCGTTGTGAAAATGTAAATAATAATTCGTGCATAAGGAATGAAGGAGAAAAAGAAAGAAAGAGGGAAAGAGAAAGAGAGAGAGAGAGAGAGAGAGAGAGAGAGAGAGAGACCAAAGAAAGGTCAAAATTTGTTTTTTCTGTTTTTTTGTGCTCCCCTTTTTAAATTTACATATAAAATTGTTTTATGGCATACGTTGGCGCGAACTTTTTTTCTTTTTTTCTGCCCGTATAAGAGAACAAACGTTAACAACATATGGATTTTTCCTTCACACATTTACATTTTGAATTAATTTTCCGGTTTTAATCGTTTCCCTTTTTTCCACTTGCCCCCCACAAAAAACAAAAACAGAAGGAGATTTTGTCGATTCGCAATTGCATTGAATTTTTTTTTTTTTAAATAAATAAATGTGTGAATTTAAAATCGGGGGAAAATTTTATGATTATTATTTGGATTGTGATAACTCCCCCCCCCCTGCATCCCCCACTACCCCCCGATCGGACGGAAAATTT